GTGTGGCACAAAAAGCTCAGCTCTTCAGTCTTTGGAGATGGCACAGCTTTTTTCTATGAAGGAATTTGACACACGTTTTCCTGGTAGATTTTCATGAACTTTTTAAAACCTTCATTCCTTCCCTAAAATCCTTTTGACCAGACATCAAGATTAAAGAAACTGACTCTGTCTCCTGGTTCTAGGCAATTCCCTCCCAAGGGAACTAAGCTCATCCTGCTTCTAAAGGATCAAATGAACTTCATCCCAATAAATTTGAAATCAGCGTAGAACCTGGCTCCTAATCCAGATTTTGCTTATTGTGTCAGAAGTAAGCAGGGAGTGCGCATGAGATGCTACATATGACTGTAATTAAAGAAGATTGCAGGCCAGATACTTTAAGCCCCAGCTCCAGCTTCAGCAGCAGTGACAGGGAACTGTTTAGACAGATGATACCTTCAGTTAAATAAAGAATGAGGTTCAGTCCTTTGTTTTTTCATCTTGTTTTATTTTCCATCAGAACCTTAAAAAAGGTGTGCACACACAGTAAAAGAGGAGTTTGTTAAGCGTCAGGATTAGGCTTGGGGTAACATCAATGATGTTTTATTCTTTAATAGCTGGGATGGGCGCAAGTACTCACCTGGAATTTTATGGTGGTACATGCAAATAGGTGTTAGCTATATATATATTTATATATGCAACAATTTGAAATAATAATAAGAAAATTTAGTAGCTAGTCATTTGGATTGGCCAGAGAAGGGAATTTTGAAAAAGACATGCTTGGCAAAAAAGAACCGTGCATTTAGCTTCTAAAAATGAGGGCACTTCAAGGGATGTGAAGCTGGGCACCAAAAGCTGGTGCTGGGCACCAAAAGCTGCTTTGGAAAAATCTTGTGCAGTAACAGTTTTAGCAGCAGATAGCAGCAACCTAAATAGTAATTGTTATCACATAACTGAAAAGTCCTGAGATTTACTTGGACAATGTCCCTGGGAACATTTGTTAAGAATGAAATGCAGTTGAAGCAATTTGTACCACAAAGTCAGTCAGGAAATCAGACTAATCCTTGATGAAATTCTCTGTAAGCTTGGCTGTCTAAGACTTGCTAGAGCAAAAGAGGCAGAAGAAAACCGAGCCAGAATGAGATATTGAAAGGTACTGAAACTAGGTCACTGTCCTACATTACACAAAAGCTCGATGGAGCTCTATCATCCCTCAGTATCCTGAGCGAGATGAACAAAGGACTTTGTCTGGTGCAAATCTCCTAGCAGCCTCCAAGTTATACATCTGCATAAATCATAAAGAAACTCTAAGCATAGCAGAAATGCCAAGACAGGTAGAATGTATAGCACTGAAGGAACAGGGGAGGAAATGAAGGGGATGGCTTCTGTCATAACTCTGCGCCATTGCACGATAACGAATTCCCATCAAGAAAACCTGTGACTTATTAAAAAAAAAAAAAAAAAGTACAATACGAGAAGGATGAAGGGGCGCTGATTGGAAAAGCCATGACATAATTAGATAGATACACTAAGCCAGCAGGAGAGAAGAGGTGCTTAATTAGTAAATAGAAATAAGACTGCAGTAGGAAACAGGATCTGTTTTCTACACCGTAGGCTCGAAAACCTTCGTCATGATTAGTTAAGAGACAGTCTTCCTGAGCTGATAGGACAGCAAATCTTGACTGTTCATGCTCCCCTTGTCTTTGATATTTAAAGCTTCAGTTCCATTCAATTTAATTCAATCAGAATTTATATATTTTTACTGGACTAAGCACTTTTCCCCCTTTTATAGGCACAGATACAGAAAAAATATTAAACCCGAAAACTACAGAAGATAGAAATGGTTTAAAAGGGTATTTCAAGCACAACATTTTTTTGTTGTTTTGTGTTCCCCCATACCCCTGGCCCCCCACCCCCATGGCTTCTGCTAGTTTAGTAATGAATATAGAATCACAGAATCATAGAATCGTCCAGGTTGGAAGGGACCTTCAAGATCATCTAGTCTCTTTGCATTATTCTTTTTCATGGAGAAAGACCATCATTTCAACACTGAAATAAACATTACGAGAACAAGTTGTTTATACATGAATGCAGGAACAGTCTTTAGGTAATAATAATTTAATCAATTAGCTGCGGATATCGTATTTTCTATCCAAAGGCACTGGGAAAAATGTTTATTTGCTCCCAGTCCCTGTCTCAGATTTCTGGAAACATTTGAGAGTACAACATTGTTTTCTTAGGTGTACATAGAGCCCAACATCCTCATATAACAGCCCTCTTCCAGTCTTATAAACAGCAGATAATAATAAATTATAGATCTTTAAAAAAAAAGAGGTGTGGGGAGTCTGATGACCTTCTAAATTTGTAATTTGAATTTAGGCAGTCATACAAAATGAAAACGGTTGCCTCATTCTCTCTGTTTAGCATAAACACATTGCTTAGGGAGACCTGTTTCTATTTCATCTGTGATGTGCAAGAAGAGACTATCCCATTAGTGTCTGCTGACCTGAAAGTCCACAGTTAAACAGCAATTTTAAAGGACCCTGAAAAAAATTATTTTATATTCATTAAGAAATACTAGGAAATATTACTTAAGTAACTATTAATTACTACAGAACTAGTTCATGTGGTCCTTGGATGTGTCCTAGGGCAAAGAAAGCTCTGAACTCCAGTGGAGCAGAGCTTCCCAGGACAGGTCTGTCTCCATCCCAGCCCTTTGCTGACTCTGCAGCTCCAAACTCGGCAGGATCTGTGAGTATCCAGGATTCATGTAATGATTCAAACTTTGAACCTTTGCTCCATTTAAATACAGGACATGTCAGTTTTTCCAGTATCAGAGTCCGCTTTGGTTTATCTAAGTTTGTCTATTCAAATAAATAATTACCAGCTACTTTGTGGGCTTTAAATTTACCTTATTTTCTAAATGAAAATTATTTTTGGTCTATCCATGGAAAGCTGGAATCTGAGACTAGAAATGGTCCTGAATCCATTAGTATGTATCCTAAATAAAACTGGCCTGTTTTCACAATGAGTGGTGAAAAAAGAATGTCCATTAGATACTGGAAATATTGTCTTTCTAAAACCAGCAGATTTCTATTTGTGTAACGTCTAAGCACTGCAAATCTCAGCAGAAAATTGCACTGGAACAGTGGGCGGTTCCGAATTGCTGGAAACTTTACAATGGCTTTTATGTTTAAACATCATTTAGCAGCTGTTAAAGGTCAGCACAAATCCTGTACTTTATCAGTATAAATGAAGTCTACAACTGCCAAGAAAAGAATGCATTAAATAATGCAGTGATTATTATCTTGGTTTTTTTTTCCCTTCAGAAGTGAAAAGGGCCTCTTAAGCAGTTCCATTTTTCTCCTCCTTATTTCAAATTGACACAGTAAAACACTAATTAAATTATTTATACCAGAAATTTACTTACAGGGATGACACATTTTGTACACAAAGCAAGTAAAGCATCTGACACATTGTATAGTGCCAGGTGCAGTTAAGAAAGTGTAATACAAGTCAGCATCAACTTGCTGCAGTTTCATTATCAATTTTATTTCCTACCATACACCAAATGTACAGCACAGAACACAATTTTGTTGTTTTGATGTAAGAAATATTAATTGTATGAAGAAACAGTATACAAACTACTCCAAATTAAAAAATGCATACATCATTGCTCTTTACAAAAGGTCTAATTTACAGTATAGCTCATCAATGCATTTAAACACAAAAAAAGGAAAACAGAAAGAAAAAAAAAATCAGTGCACATTACAAAACACATCAAGTACAAGGGAGGCAAATAAATACAAACATACTTCACAGAACATCCTGAGCAAACAACCAAACACAGATAAATTAACCTGAAGCCATAGTAAATGATAATAATAAATACATAGGTCAGTAAGAGATTTTTTTTACTTAAATAAAATATATAACAAATTTGTTAAAATATTTAGTAAATTAAATTTTAGTCTTTGTAATGAGTGAACTCATTTTGTATGCATTTAACAAGTATAACAAATGTTTGCTTTTTGTTTTTTTAGCAAGAACAATAACTTTAATAGCAAATTTTTGTTTGGTGTCCTCCTATTTATATTAGACAGCACATATGGTAGCTTTGAAAAATCGATTTAAAAATAAACACAGCTCCTAAGAACATACATTTCCCCCTGTCTAAACTAAGGTCAGAGAGTTGAATCAACCCTCAAACAAAAAGCAAGCCCCACCTAATGCAGAACAGTGACCACAGTGCATGAGAGTTGAATCACTTTTGAATAGTACTTTTGTGCAGGAACAGTAATAATATAATTGTATATGTCAAGCCTGTGAATGCCATCATATTCAATCTAAATATAAATGAGGCTAATAAAAATAAACACTTTCATTATAGCACGGAGAAATTAAACACACGCTAGATCCATGTATACATTTACACTGAGGCACATATGCACATGAGGTGTGTGTGCATACAAAAAAGGCAGTTTAGCTGGTTGTTTATACCTTTTTTTCTTAAAAAAAATAAATATAAAAAAAACTTTTGAAACAATGCTTAATTACTTACAATCCCTGAAATAGACATTGCCTCTGTTATATAGCAACCGCTACTCTCTGGCGGATTCAGAAGTTCCACACCCAGGCTAAGCAGACACCCAAGGGGCACGCCAGCATCTCTGCTCCAGCGCTCCTCTGGCCGCCCCTCCGTCTGTCTGAACGCTCTGTGGCACTTGGTACCCTACCGAGAGACTGGTCAGAAACTCAGTATCAGCCTAGTCCTAGTGAATAAGGATGGAGAAACCAGTCACGGTGTTGCTGCCGTTCGTTCACAAGAGGAGAGCAACCACCGTCGTGCTGGAGTGGTGAGTAAGGATGGGAGAAACCAGTCACGGTGTTGCTGCTCACGGAGGAGAGCAACCACCGTCGTGCTGGAGTGGTATTATTCCTCTCCAGACCTCCAGACCTCCTGTTAAGTTCAAACCAGTATTAAATGCCATTTCAGGGGAGATGTGTTCGATTCGATTTGCCTCCTCAGCTGCCGTTAAGTTCAAACCAGTATTAAATGCCATTTCAGGGGAGATGTGTTCGATTCGATTATGTACAAAGCCTTCAGCTTGGGATGTGTTTGTTTTTTTTTCCAAATCCAAAACCATAGCAATACTGGTCACTTGCTTAAAACCTCAACATCTGGTACTAAAAAAGTACCAGTCCTATCAAATTACCCTTCTTGTTTAGAGATAATTGTCATTTCCCTACCATGAGCTAACTCTGAAAAAAAACAAAAACAAAAAACTGCAGTGGTAAAATAAATCTGAAGTTCTCTTGAAACATTTTAAATAATCATCCGCATAGGCTAAATCACACAGCCGAGTCAAGTGCTTTGCTGATTGCTATATTTCATTATTGCTAACGTATTCTTTAACACACTGTTTTCCAGCATACTGTGCTTTTTAAGAGCCCGAGTTCCCCACTAGTGGGCACCATTTATCTTCTCATTCCATGCATCTTCACATCTCATGTTACCGCAAACCCATTTCTGATACAAAGCCATTATAAAAAAGCAGGATGTGAGGAAAATAAAACTAGAACCACGGTTCAGTCATTTGTTACTTTCATAGTTTTTTTTTTTTTTTTCTTCCTGTACAAACCCAGCAAGTTATTTAATTTACAGTATAACTTTTCAGTCTATTTAAAATCCCGTTGGAAAATAAATTAATAAACACATTTGTAAAAATATGGCAGGCCGCAAAAATGCTGTTAAAAGATAAAAAAAACAACTCTTTGATTAGAAATAAATAAAAAATATAAAAAATAGTCGCACACACTTTTTACATTCACTTTACAAAAACTGAGTGCAAAAGAAGAAAAAAAAAAGGAATTGTACTGAAATAAATACAATATACTAACAGAGTGCATTGCTGTTAATACAAATAGTCTGTTGTGGTTTTATTCTTTTTTTTTTTTTTTTTTATGTCAGCTGGGAAAAAAATTAGTGCAATGTTGCAATTGTAAATGCAGCATGGCAACCTACACCCCTTAGCAGTACATGAACTCCTAACAGATCCATCTGGAGTTTACTGCTGTTAAGTAATTTCTGTTGCCCAGCAGCTTTCACATCCTACACATGGATGCCCTTCACTGCCTGTTTGATACTTTCCAGCAGAGCTTTGCATTCGGGGGAATAGTCCCGTTCCAGATTGCTGTACATGTCTGTGAGTGTATTTACATATGCTTCGAAATTCTGCTCACTGATTGGCCCCTAAATGAAGACAAAACAGATTATAATTGTAGGAGATAAAATTAAGGCCAAAAAACCAACCAAACCCAAACACCCAAGCCCAAAGCGTGGAAAAGCAGCGATATGGCAACTGGGGAGAAGTCGTAAACAGGGCAGCCATCCAAATTAATGGAGGGGTTGTAGAAAGGAAGGGAGTTGCACGTGCTGGGGCAACCACACACTCTTCCAAGCAAGAAAAGGGGTTGGAGATATCATCGTTAGTGTAATTTGCTTTTGTACTGTGGCCTGTTTGGCTCTGGGACTGTGGTTGACATCCCCGTAACTGTCCTCGCCTAATCTTCTAGTGGCACTCTTGAGATTGGGAAAGGGGACTGTAACCCTAGAGACACAAGTACCTTCGTGGCTTTGTCCTGTGTTTGCAAGTAGGATATTAAGGACGTGGAGATTTTGAGAAGGCAGAGCTTTGTCACCCTAGAGACACGAGTACCTTTGTGGCTCTGTCCTGTGTTTGCAAGTAGGACATTAAGAACGTGGAGATTTTGAGAAGGCAGAGCTTTGTTGGCTCCAGAAAAATCACCTGTATGAAACAGGTTAAAGTTTTGATCTAGCAGCAGAGTAAATAAGGATTCGTGGTGTGAAGTTTCCTCTCTTTGTGCAGGGTGGACATTCAGATAGGGAGGAATGAGGGAAAAACCTGTCCTGCATGGTGTGGTACAGGGCAGAGACACCAGGGGTGGCTCAGTCCTGGAAGCAACTGTGCCTGCTATCACACAGATTTCATGATCCAGCATCACTGCAAAGTAAATTAGGCTAAAAGAGCTCTCTGCTAATGCAGCTCCAGTGCTCCTGCTGGTCCCTGAGCTTGCTCATCTGCTTCAAGTGCTGGCAAAACAGTCTCAAAGAAGGTGTGAAGCTGCTGGCTGTGGTCTTACCATCTGTGGAAGCTGAATGTCAGCGAGGCTGGAGATGAGGGCTTGGCTTAAGCCAGCTAACTCCTTCAACAGGCTCTCGTTGTTCTGCTCTATGAGTTTGTTCTCTTCTTCTATTGTTTTCAAATTGCTCTCCATAGATGTGATCTAAAAGACACAGGCAGGCACAAACACACAAACTAAGAGACCCTTGGCAGCGTTGTAACTGCAGTTTGAACCCAAAATGGCAGTCATGTGATTATAAGAGGGGGCCACGGTGGATCTGAAACTCAGGCATGGGGGTTTTTAGGATAGACATAACCTCTCCAAAGAACATTCAGAGCAAGGAAGAGGTTGTATTCCCTCTGAACTGATGGACTTTGCTGCTGGTTCATGGGGAAACCTTGTGGCAGCGAGGCTCTGGAGGGTGCCCAGCAGCGGGAGGAGGGAATTGAGCTCAGGGGGAGAAGGTCAGCGTGGAGCTGGGATGGAGAGTGTGGCCGCGGGGCTGGCGGAGGGAAGGAGAAAGGAGGGTGATGTTTACATTGCTGTCCTGCTCTTACAGCATCCCTGCTGATCCACCACAATAGCAAGGGCACGGGAATTAGCTGCTGTGCTACTTTCCTGCCCCGCTCCTGGGTGGAGGGTAGAGCTGTGGGTTGGCTGGGATTAGCTACAGGGCTGGCACTGGAAACAATAAGAGAAGAATAGAATGGAAAGGAAACTAAGAGGTTGAGCACACAACAATCTTTGCAAAGATGATCTCCGACCAACAGAATAGAAATGAGGGTTTTGGAAAGAGCAGGAAAAAGCGTGTGCGGTAGCAAAAATCTGTCTAGTGTGAGAGAATATATGCAGCTCTGACGGCTTATATGTCAAAAGCAGTGCTGAAAACCTGAAGGCAGCACTGGCAGGGCCTGGTTCCTCACTGCCCTGCTCCTCACCACGCAGTGGACAGAACCCAGAGCTGCCACCCCTGTCCCTGGCCATGGCTCTGCAAGACACAGAGCAGAGCGATGGAGTCACATCCACGGCCGTTACGCTCACCCTCTCCTCATTAGGATGCACATCTCTGCTCTATTTTAATATCTCTTGCTGTGGCCACTTTACTTCTCTTCCTCACACACCATCACACCTGACAACAGCCCCCCGGTGGGGTGAGCCCCTTTTTGCCTGCCTGGGATCCACTACAGCCTCCCCTCTGGAGGTTGCTGGCAGGAGCCTGACACCTGGCTGGGCTAGATTTAAAGGAGGTGAAAGCAAACCATGTAGGGGATGTGTTCCTTCAGCTGGGTTTCAGTTCAGGCTCTGCTGGTCAGACTGCCTTCACCAGGGAGCAGGTCCGAGGAGAAGGAATCTGACTGCATAAGCGGGGTGATTTCTGTGCAAACAGCACAGTGATCACCAGGGAGAGCTGAAATCAGTGTCCCCAGACACTGAACACCACCCCCACCCCCTCCCTCACTGCAGTGCAATTTGGGATGGATATCCCCACAGCCTTTGCAGTGAAAAGCCAGATCATTTAGATCCAGCGTAGGCGGCATAAACTTCACCCTTTTTTAGACCATGCACGCAGTGGTTATGACAAAACCAGTATGAATCAACACTGTAGATTCCAGTGTGGTACAAATACAGAGGGATGCGGTTACAGTCAGTTTGCTTTAGATCACTTTCAACTTATATTCAGTTCCCAGATCTCATTTAGGACTTATTTTCATAAACTTTTATTCCTAAAATATCGAGCAAGCTTCTGCTCTTGCTTTTACTCAGTCTGCCCAGGTGAGCTCCCAGGTCCATATAGGAGTCTCTGCAGGGATGAGGGGATTCAGGTCACTCTATCTATCTATCTAAGACTCTATCAGCGTCTTAAAACCGATTTAATCTCTCCAGTATACAAAAGAATGAAAGAGAGCGACTCTTTTCTCCAGCTCCTGTCAAACTCCTCTGCTACACAAATGAGCAAAAGGCATCCATTCTTTACCAGGTGTTGCCTGGAGGCAAAATTCAAACTGTTTTTTGTAACTGACAGTGAGCGAACTGAAGGAGGGAGATTTTCTTAGGTACACATAAGAACAAAGTTCACTTGCATTAAGAGTTAGAGTGTGCTGGCAAGAGGTAATATCCTCCCTTAAAACCGCAGTCATGGGATTCTGCACTGTTTGTTCAACAGTTTGGTCAACAAAGGAAAATGAATGTTTTGTTGATAAATATGGTTTTTCTGCTTGCCAAGAGTAGCTCCAAACTATTCTGAATTTGTTATTCACCAGATCTTTAAGACAATACCCAGGAATGTGCTGCTCATTTACAGAAAACAAAGTAGCAAATGCTTAACAAAAAAAACATGTAGGATTTTGGTACTTTAAGTGCCACAGAGTGATGGGAAAACAAGTGCACAGGAGACGAACTGTGTTTAAAAGTAACATTTACATAGCACTGAATTTACTCATTGTGCTTAAACATAGCCTCAGAAAAGGTAAAACTTTCACGTCGATGTCATACCTGGGTTTGGAGTTTCATCATGTCAGCTTCAATTTTAAGATTGGATTCATTCAGTTCTTTTATTTCCTCATCCAAGTGTCTGATTTCTTCATCACTCTCAATACCTGCAAATAGTTGAAAATACCGATGTCAGATTTAAAGTGTCCACATGTAAAAGGATGCAAAAGTAACAAGCTGCTGTTACTGAACAAGAGGAAGATAACAAGTTTTTGATCAAATGATTAATCTTTAAATTGCTTTTTACTTTGCCTTTACTGTCTAAAGGTGCATCAAAAAATGTTTCTTAGCTGTAAAACATCTATATGAGCTGAAGCACAGAAGGGGCCGAGTCTTTGTGCTTCACAGTTCTTTTTTTTCCAGTGCAACATTTAACTACAAGCTGGAGGGTAGGCAAAGGAAAAATTGCCCAGAAAGAGGAAAGTTTATCATAAAACATGAGAGAGTATTTACAATGGATTTTTTCATTTTAACAGAAACATAACAGCAACCCTTATTCTGCAGGGAACACCCCAGGGTAACATCTCCAGTAGTATAATTGCTGAGTCTTTGCCTCTTGTCCCTCTTTCTGCTTAGGATCACTCTGAGACCAGCTCTGCCTGGAGATGTGTGCCACTGTTGTTACAACTTTAACACCTAAAGCCCTGAACTGGGTCTACTGGGGAGCCAGCTTGGAAAGTCCCTGCCCCAGTAATAACCCAGACACAGGGAAGCAAGCTCGTTTGCCCAACGTAAAACAAACATTTTGCTCAGCAGCTGGAAGCACAAAGACTAAATTCACAAAATCCTGGCTCAGTGCCCAACTTTCTCAAGTACGCTGTGTAAGAAAGAAGACTCCTACGTATTTCCCCCTTATAACTCTTTGCTAATTGTTCCTTTACACTTGGGTTATCATCCAAGTACAGCATAGATACTAAACCATGTAGTATTCAGGTTAGGAAGAGGAATCAAATTCTGCACACAATATTTATCCCTTCTTACCTTAATCATCAGATAGCTAAGTCCTCCTGATCCGTAACTAATAATTTATTGGTAATAACAATATTGAAAGCATCTCCAAATCAAAAATTAATGCTCCAAGACAAGATAAGAGCATACCCTCAATGTTGAATTATCATGATGTAAATGAGAGTAATTTTATAATCTTTCATGCAAAGATTTTTGTTATTCAAGATTTGTTATTGCCAGAGATAACTGAAAGGAGTGAGAATTAATGCCAAAATGGCACAAAGGGGCATAAGTATAAATGGGAGTCAGGGCCCTTCTATCTAAATAAATGTCATCATCTTTTACAAATCTCCTTACCACCACTTGCTTTAAGCTTGATAGTCATTAATTCTTCCGAAATTTTGCCCTTTTTTATGGCTTGTGCATTCAGAGGACAACCAGACAGGCTGAAACAGATAGGAAAAAAAACATTAGCACCCACTTGAAAATGGCAACAATCCTTTCAGGCAATATTATCATGCACTTGGACAGACCTCTGTACCTAAGGTCACATCAGTATCTCCATTATAGCATAGCTTCGGGGAATGACGTAACTCAGAGCCATTTAACTGTATATTCCAGCTTGAAAATTGGCACAGAAATCTCAACCTATAAGTAAACAACTCTTAAGCATAGTTCAGAATTATCAAAATAGCAGTGGCAGCTACTGTTATGTGAAGATGCGTTTATAGAATTCTTGAAGTTTAACACTTATAAATAAAAATCTTTCTTTTTTAAATTGAGGACTTGAGCTCCAGAAGAGAGGGAAAGTATGATAGCAAGTTTACTATCCTAAAAAAATTAGTTAATAGGATGATTTCCGTGGTGCACAACTATTGTATCATTTTGCTGATACATAATAATGATCAATACAATAATAACTCTGGATATACCCTATAGACTGTAATAGCTATTTTGAATGGTTCTATTATATAGTCAGTTTGCTTTTTAACTACTGTTCACATTAAATTACATTTTGCTGTTTCAAAGCTTACAATTTCATCAGCTGGTAATTATCTGAGGCAATTTTTATAGCCCACTAAAGGGCTAAGATGAATTGCACTGTCTTAATACTATCTTTATAAATGACAAAGAAGAAATACCCATATGCTGAAGAACTGGCAGAAGGATTTGTATTCAGATTTAGCCAAGTAAGGAGTGAAGGAAAATTTTGTTCCACAGGAAAATGGTTGATTTTCGTGTATGTGTAAAAATTAAAAACAAAAATCCTGATAGATATGGTGTTTCTACATGAAAAAAAATTTAAAAAAAGCTTTTGAAGGTTAACGTTAGCTTCACATTGGCTTAGCTAGACACTACACAGGGAAAGATGCTAGTTCTCCAGTTCTAAAATGCTGCTTTGTATTTCTGCTCAGAGCAGATAACTAACTGGAAGAATGTCTCAAAGCCATGGGTTACTTGTTAGACTGCAAATGTCCTAGGGAAAGATATCATATCATAAAGCTATATTTACTGCCTCATTTTAACTAGCACACATTGGATGTGTGATCCAGCCTTATGTAGGGCAGAAATCAGCTATAGTACGAGTTGCAACCAGCTCACATGCTAATTATGTTATTTGCTTAATTAGCTCCAATTTACAGTGGTGTCCTAATGTAAAGACTTTAATATGGGATGTGGATCATAAAGTGAGGATAACACTGGAGTCTGACTGCATTTGTTCATGTCACCTTGAACATTCTTGTGTTGGAGAAGTTGGTTCAGTGTTAGAAAGAAAGCAAAGAAGGTACAAAATATAGATTTAATTCCCAAGACAGATAGAAGACCAAATTTTGACAGGTATTAATTCATACTCTATAGCCAGTTTCTTTGCAATATTAATTGAACGTGGTCAAATTATGGTCAAATTATACTGATGTTTTCAGTGATACATTAAATCATAGTGTTTATTTTTACTGGTTATATGAGTAATGCCTGCTTTGTAAGGATGGTTATCTTTGTAATATTGCTATAACTTCAGACTTGTGTAATCTGTGTAAGTTCTACATGTTTACTTTTTTGTGTAGTTCTAGTTATTTAAATATAAAGTTCATAAAAACAGCTTTTCTACTGGTAGAAAGATGAAATGAATGCAGCCATTGCTCTTGCTAAACCTTTTCTGGTGACATTTCAATGATATTTGCATTTTCTGTAAAAGATATACAGATACAACTCCATATTTGCCTAGGAAAGAACTCTATTAAATTTTAAACCGTATAGAAACTGTGCTAATCTGAAGAAAAGACCTTGGAAAGTCACATTGCAATGGGAACATAGGGAAAGAGTAAAAAGTTGATCCCAACTCTCTGAAAATTATTCTGATCCATGTTACTTCAGCTGCAATGTAAACTGTGTTGTTACTTAAAAGACTTCAGCACAACGTATTCAGACGGTAACCTCACATGTTGCCAATTCAACAGTGGAACGTTAAGGAAAAAATAAAAAGAGAAAACACAAAGTTATACCTTCTGTGGGTGACAAAAACATTATTAACATGACCCAGCCCGTTGCAGCCTGGCAAAGGACAGTGTGGCAGCTCTTGTTTGTTCAGTTTCCAGGATAGTGAAGACCCATTGACGGGACTCTCCTTCTGTCTCTTGGCAGCCAAAGGACAACCAGAAGCAGTGCGATGAGAAGTGTATTTACCTGATATGTGACCTTGGCCATCACAGCCTATCACTGGGCATCTACAGAAACACAGCAAAAGAAACCCCGTTTTCACTGGAGAGAGCAGGCGAAGACGGTCTCAAGAAAGTCTGAGAAAATAATTCCAACTGCCTGTGCCACTTTGCATTAATGGAATAAGACTCAGCCCCTGGAGGCACAATGTACCTGAGCATCCAGTTCATGTCAAGCTGAGTTCAGCTGATCTTGAGATCAGACAATTTAAAATACAGCCATGCAGCCTAAGAAACTAAAACATTCATTTAGATAGTGTTTTCCCAGAAAATAAAATTGAAATTCTATCATAGGCAGTAAATCTTACTTCTACATTTGTATGGAAAGTCAACATTCTCTCCTCTCTATCTAGGTTTCTGGCATGAAGGAGAGGGTGGGCTCCTGCACCTGGAAAACTTGTATCGTCTCATGCAATCACTTGCAAAGAAAGATTTGGGGTGGTTGTTTTGCACTGCTCTGTCAGTGTTATACAATCCCTCATAATTAATTAGCAACTGTTGAGAACAACATTTTTTGCATCTAAATCTTCATATCTATATTCTGGCAGTTATCATTTACTGATTTGAACGAAAAGTGCATTCAGGTCAGGAATGCAGTGAATCTCTACCGAGTCTCCAGTTTTCACTTTATGTGAAAATTTAGTTTATTTATAGAGGAAAGACATGAGATATATTTAAGTTCTCTGGGACATATTTTGAAGGTGTCACTCTGATTTAATTAGCTGACATGTTAAGATTTCACTACAGGCAGAAATAATTTATTTTTTTCCTTCATTTCGCCAATGTTTCCAAGTAAGTGGCACTTTCATAGCGCTGTTTAAAATAATTGGAACAATGCAGGCAGATATAGCAATCCTTCCTCACTGCTCAGGCTCCAAGGTGGTAGAATCCATCAGCTTCTTTAGAAGCAGAAACACTTGGTTCGGCTCCAGCTCTGGGGAATATCCTCAGGTGACTCAAATTAGCTTGGTCATCTCCTCCCATGCCTCAGGTCCTGTGCTCTGAAAGGCTTTTCCCCCCTCCCTTCACTGGGGGTTGACCTGTGCTTTTGTACTTACTTAAGTTCAGGGTCTTCCTTTTCTTCCTTGGTAGGAGTCACTTTGATACCCCCTTTCCTGGCACGAGGACAACCAGATAAGCTGAAAGAAGCACACAGAATAAAAGCCACCTCTTTCTGCCTGCTGCTGCTTGCCGAGAACCCCCGTGCTTGCTGCCCCGTGCAACGGGATGGTTTTTACCTTCTGTGAGATGCATAGTTCCCTGTCACGTGGCCAGAACCATCACAGCCAGGTGTCGGGCACCTATGGAATAACACAGGGAGCTTACAAAATACGGCTTCAAAGGTACACAGTAAATAACATCTACATTCTACATTTTGTCTAGGGCGGAAGAAAGAACAGCAGAGCTTTTGTTGAATAATTAAAACTCGTTCTTGCTGATTTTTTTTTTAAATGAACAGACTCCCTTCATATGTTTTTTTTTTTTCTTCTATAACAGTTTTAGTAAGGAATGTCAAATACATTGCATATGATGTGTAGTTTTAATTAGTTTATAACACTGTTTGCATCAAACATTTTTCCTTGTATGGGAACAACATTAAAAAAAAAGAGTAGCTTGATATAGATCTATTTGTAAATTTACTGTTACGTGTTTGTTTGTTATTCTTCTGATGTTTTCAGGTAGAGATATAAATAAGCACTTTGCCAGTATTTACAGAAGGGGAAATGGAAGCAGAGAAACAGTTTTACTTTTGGGCATCAGTAGATGATAGACAGAATTTGAATGTAATAATTTGTATATTCAAGCGCTGTAAGCATACAAAAGGACCATATCTTCCTAGCTCTAGATTCAATTGGGTATTCAGTTTGGCAATTGGATTATGTCCCATAGTTAAGGGGTTTCTCTGTGTGTGTGCAACAAACAAGCCTTTTCAAGTGTATGAATGTTTAATACTAAAACAACCATTCAATGAAAGGAAACAAACCTGCCTGTTACTGTGTTTTCACCAGTGGTCTGGGAGGGTGGGCTACTTTCTTACTGGTTCTACATAGAAAACGTAGGTCTTTCCATGGACTTCTCTGGGGTTTGGAGCAAGGCCTTACTGGTAGCACCTTCTATCTCAGAAGTTTAGATTTTTTTTTCATTGAAGGCTTGTGTGGGTTTTTTTGTTTGGTTTAGGTTTTATTTTAAAAGAAGAGAAACACACCTCAGCACACAAAGCAGCACGAAAAAAATATTTACCTTTGGAAGCTGTGCCAGCCGTTTCTATGTTTCTGTATTATACAGCACAAAGTTCTTATGCTAAGCATCCCTAAGGGCCTTTTGACTGCTATGATTTTTACAGAGTATGAGAATTACAGAAAGAGTTGTACCAAATAATCTTGTACTGAACCATTAAGGAAGCTCGCATCGTTCAATACTCCCTTAAGGGTCTCAGTTGTTACTGAATCTTTCCCGAGGTGAGGAGATGGGTGATTTAGTCCAGTCATTGGTAGGCTGCCATGGAAAACACCTACAAATATAATTGTCATAGCACGTCTGAGTGTGCAGGTGTATCTCTTCACAGAATATTTAAAACTATTTTTCCGCGAACAATTAATTTGTCAAAAATGTAATTTCTTTTGGACATGACCAAATTTATTCACTGATTCAAGTAGAATTCAGCAAATAATTTCAATTGAAGAAAGGGGAGACTTTTTTTTTTTTTAAAAGATAATGTCAAAACATTTCATGATGACATTTTCTGAACAAAATATTTTGGCAGAATGACATGACTCACACTGACAGTGAAGGTAGAGGTGTGGGTTGCAGAGTGCCAGATATGCTTGACTGTGTAGAGCTAAATGTTGACCTGTCGGAGTGTGGGACAAGGACTGGGCACAATGTCATGTGGAGCAGGCAGCAAGGGCAGATGTCTGGAGAGTGTGAATGCTCACAAGTAAATCCAGAACACCTGCCAAATACTATGGGTATTAATTTTGGCTACTTGTTTTATCAGATGATCACAGATGGAAGAGCTGTCCTCATAGACTGGACGTGGATTTTAATTCAGTAAGAGCTCTTTGTGGAAGACATACAGATCTGAGAGGCTGAGAGTTAGGGACTTAAAAAAGACACTGAACTAAATTTTAATCTCCCCATCTGTATTTACCGCTTCTGGCAGCAGATAGATTTCACAACCAGATTAGGGTCCAAGGAATTCTTGAGGTCATTAAAGATTTGAGGCTGTGATATTATCAATAAGGATAAAATTATAAGATGGTATTTCAGGTGGGTTACTGACAAATTAGTAAGAAGTTTCACTAGCGAGACTCCTAAGGTTGACTGCTACGTTACGTTTTCCAAATACTGCTTATACCTTTGTATGGATTGTGAAAATCCTCGATACAAGATATACCAACAATGTATTGCCTTGCAGTCAGTAATACTGTGCATCTTCATCAGCTTTTAACTGGCTGATGAGTTTGGACTGGTGTCCCATTTTAGGGTTTCATCCTCTGTTATGGGTTCCTGTGCAGAGCCAAGAGAATCAGATTTACATTGGAGGGCCAGAGGACTCAGGAACTCAAGCTAAAAGATGTCGACTCTCAGGTGGGTCTAGGTTACAGATTCTTTTACAATTCATCTAGTTTGTTTTCCAAGAACAAATCTCAGCAATTCACATCGGAATTCTTGTAACTGTGCATTGAGTACCTGCTATTTTGTTCCCTACTCCAAGACAGTTGTCTTATTTTAGGTAGATGAACTACAACTGCATGTAAAATTGATACAGTGAGCTGCAGATCTAGGAGCATTTCTGCTTCTGCCAAGAAAGCTCACAGAGATGGTTGGATATGAACTGTAGTTAAGGGAAACCCATAGAGGTCAGCTGAGATAAACCATTGACTGAAATATGTCATGCTGCCTATGGAATATGGATCAGCATCAACATGTTGTGTGAAACTTATCTACAAGAACTGCTGGAATCTCTCCTAAAATTGATATCTAACCACTGCAACAACTCCTCTAAGGATAGGGCTGACTACCTATTCCTTAAGGTTTCTGAACTCTAAGCAAATATCTTTCTAAAGTACATTTTTAAAATTCTTTAAGGCTTGCTAAGCAAGGTCTTTGTTGAAATAGGACAATCAGCAATAATTATCCCTTATAGCTTTAAAATGTGATTCATCGTCAACATTAGTATGTTTTAATTTGACCACCTCAGATTGCTCTGTGCAACAACAACCCTCAGATAAAAAAATTCTTGAATCTGACTCAAAGGCTCACTTTCTGAACAGATCTTCCTTATTTCCAAACTGTAGATCACATGGAAGCCTTGTATCTTTGCTGGCTTAGAGTTTCCTAATTAAAGCCAAAATCATATCTTGATTCTGGCAAATTAAATGTGAATAACATTTGGAAAAAAATACACAGCTTTTTCATATTCATGCCTAACTACATGAGGGGACTTTTGTGGCCTGATTCTATGAGCATTTATGCCCTCTGCTCACATAGCAATAATAATGTTAACTATTGATGATATAACTATGCTATACCAGTGCAAACGTGACTGCAGGTTTTTGGCATAAGATTTCATTTACCCAACACTTGTCAAAAGCAGGGTTTTGTTTAAAATTTCACCTGAACTATGTTTTGCAGGGAGCTAAAAGAAGGTGGTACATTTGTGGAAAATAATTTTATTTAATCCTTTTTCCTTTTGCAAATTGTCTGTGAACAGATTTTGATTTTTGCTCTTTTTTTAGTTAATTGAAATTAAATGCTAAGTGCGTTATGCAACATATTTCTGTCTGTGAAATGTCTATGAACTTTGACTTTGTCTTTCACAACTCACTTATTATACATGGCGTACAGTGTGCAGTTTGTCATTTAAGTCATATGCTGTTGCTCCTCTTTCCTTATGGCATGACCAAAACTCTAGAAGCTTTAGTGGAAAAATAACCATATTGGTATGCAAATTTCCTTATTCACACATGAATATGGGGAGGGGGGTGCTGCATGAGGAGCAACTATTCAAAATATTTGTGTGAGTGTCTATGTATGGCAGAAAGCCAACAGAAGCAGGGACAAATACATATGACTCAGCAAATGATTTCAAATTTGTCAGCATTTTCGGAAGTCGGTTCCTTGCTTCTTGCGCTGCTCTTTTTAAAACAAACTAAACCTAAATTTGGTACATTTGAGACTTGGTGATGGAAAAACTGAAGCATTGTGCCAGTGTGTCAGTTTACCTACTGGCTGTGGGAACTGCTTTGAACAGTTGCCCATATAAATAGCATTTCTTTTCCATTCTGCTGCATCTGCAGTAGGTTCAACTCCACAGCTACCATCAGTTCAGCATTTTGTTTATAATTCAAGTTGTCAGACTAGGGGATAAGACCACTAACATTCGATCCGGGGAATGTAAACATGAGTTAGGTCTAAATGTAGTCAGTCCTACTATTAATACCATCAAAACAGCATAAAAGTGTCATGATGAGAATTTATTTTCTTTTATCTGGTCTAGGGATGAACCTAAAGGACAGTCACGGGATTCTTGCCTTTTTACACGCATTCATGAGTTTTTCCAAGCCATCTATTATGGGATCCAATTTACAAGTTGCAGAGGGAAAGCTATGAAAGAACTCTAATTATCCTTTCCTCTTCTCCACATCCTTATTGACAAAGCCAATTCAATAACTAGATGACTGGTTGCCAGTGCCTCTCTTGACTACAGATTTTTGAAATATTCATATGTCCCTATACATCTGTCTATATAGCAGAGCTTGCACAGTCCTTTTGTAAGTGACATTTCATGGTGAGAATTATGCCAGCACAAAATCATATGACTTGATGTCTGCTTCAGTGACATTAAACTCATAGTATATGGTAGCAAACGATAAAAAATTATTTGCAGGAGTTTTGGTCTCATTTTTAAATTTATTCTAACTAGACTTATTTCTAACTAAATAACGCTAACTTATTCTAACTGGATCACACAGAGCTATTTGCCAGATTTGTCTTACATGTTAGATATTTTCTTTTTCTCTCTGATTCAGAAATACTATGAGAGCAGCATCTCTCTTAGTGTTTACAATTTTTTACCCGAGGTCCTGGCTAATTCTTGAAAATGAAGGGGTACAAAAATGAAGAAAGACAAATGGAGAAAAACAAATTCTATTTCACTCAAAAGCTTTCAAACCAATTCACTTCAAATTTTGGACAAAGGTTTGACATTACTCAGAAATTCAAATGAATAACTGCATGAACGTAGGGAACGTTGATTGAAGATAAGTAAAAATAACATTTGTGCTATTATCAATACTTACTTAAGCTCCTGAGAGTTAGCAGCCATAAGGGATTTTAATGTCTTGTCAGCTAATGGACACCCAGAAACACTGAAGAAAGAATAATGAGGTATGTTTTACTAAAACAGAACATGTTGGGGTTTTGGTTTTTTTGTTGTTGTTTTTTTTTTTTTTTCAATTTTTTTTTTTTTTTCTTAGAACAGCAACCTCCAGACAATCTATGACTTAGCATGCGAAAAAAGAGATCCTCAAATACTTGTTCTTGACAATGAAGGAGCAGCCAGTATCAGGCTGTAGTTCTTAAATTATTGGAAAGATATAAGGCTAGGAACAAAGGTTTCTAAGCCTCTGTAAAGCTTTGCATGGGAGGCAGCAGTACACAGTCCTTCCTTATGTTGCCCACGAGGGGAAAGTGGAGCATCTTGTCCAAGTGGTTGAGAAAAGGAAGAAAATGCTTCCGTCCTGCTCCCAAAAGGAGGAGTAGGAAATTCTTGTTTCAACCCCGAGTAAGCTATTCTAGGGAAAATATTTAGCATCCTCAGATTATGTTAGCAGATCTATGAACTTCAAAGACTTTCACACAAATATTTACGGAAACCACATCAAAATCTCATGCATCCGCATCTGTACAGAGAGTGCTGGTACACTTGAGAAATGAAAACTTTACAAAATGACTTATCTACACATCTCAACCAAGACATCCAGCTACAGTAGTAAGCATATATTGCTTAATGGCAGCAGTCTATTGAGCCCAAACAGACTTCACAAAATATAAAAAAACCAGGAAAACCAGCCACATTTCTGTATGGATTATTTTCTGCAAATTAGTTTTGAATACTTAACCATGGTTAGTACAAAAATGTTCAAAGATGACAATAGCTAAACATAGCTCTATTTCCTGCTTTAGGCTTCCTGTTGTTTCTTACCTGCGGTGTGAAGCATAGTTTCCTGTTACATGGCCGCTACCATCACATCCTGGAGTTGGACAGCTGTGCAAAGAAGATGCAATGAGAAATATATATGTGTATATATATATATATGTATAACACACCCCATAGCTCACCCCACATAGTTATGTTATGTTACCCCACATGTGTATGTTATACATACATATAGTACGTATAACACACCCCATAGCTCACCCCACCCTGCAGTGAATTAAATAATGACCCTTAGGGCAATCACATTCATCGTTGCACATCCCAAGACTATCATGACGCTACAGAAAACCAGCAAAATTTACATGACATTTCTATTTCTCAATTATTACTTGAAATATAGATGGAAAAAAATTTTCGTATTTCCACCATGAAAATGAGTCAAAGCCCCTTTTTTTTTTTAAACTATATAATGCTTCGAAAAGATTTTTTGTTTATGACTTGGATTATTAAAAGAACAGTTTCAATACTGATATACTTGTACATTGACAGCAATTCATAGATGTTAGAGATGAATTTTCTGATCTGACCTCCTGTATAACACAGGCCAGAGAACAGTGACGCTCTAAATAATTCCCTTGAACTCTGACTAAAATAAGGCACCTTCGTTAGAAACACATCCAATCTTAATTTTCTGACATAAATGAAAAATTAGGTGTCACTGTTTCTTGCAGGAAAGAAAGCACAGCAAGCTCACACAGCTGAAGTCAGAATGAGCACAAAGGTTTCCCAAGATGTTTCTCAGCTGAACTGAGAAGTGACACAAAGATGGTGTATGTTTAGCACAAAAAATATGTCCTTTTATGCTAAGAGATGGAGGCGTGTTTGACCTGGAGAAAATGTTATAGCTTCTGTTTTTCCTCAGCTCTTCTTCAAACATAGCACTGAGCTTATTTATCAAATTAGGATACAGTCCTCTGCAAGAGGGCAAAGATATCAAGAAGTGCAATTTGTGCATGGAGGGAGAGATGAATTAAGTATACCTTTCTACAGTAGTTTACACCACTAGCACCAGTCCTTCAGAGTCACCTTAAAAAGGGCTGTGCCTTCTCTCACTTGCCCCTCATACTCTCATGGGTGAGAGGGGCAAGCAGAAACTATGCAAAAACTTTTAGCTGGTGCTCCGTAGTAATATGTAAAGGGTATCTTAGATCCTCATTTGGCTATTTCCTCCAAGCTGGCAGAGTGATAGGAACTTTCTCAAATCTGTAAAGCAGCCTTAGGAAGACACCAGCCACATTTTTACAGCCCAGTTCAACCTGAGCGGTGCAGTTATGGGCAAGAGAATTAACATGGAAAAGCCACATTTTTACAGCCCAGTAAAAGCGATGAGCGATGCAGTTATGGGCAAGAGAATTAACATGGAAAAATTGAATGCACATGCTAGGAGGTAGTATTTACAAGTTTGTTCACTGCATCTGAGGTAACTGTGTCAGAATTTTTTTTTCCTCAAGTGCTTATGTCATTTTAAAAACTTCCTCATGATGGAGCCACCTGTATTGAATTGTTCTGTACAAGTTCTGAGCTCAATGGGATCATAAAAATGCAATCTGTTCCTGATATTACCTATATAGTCTTCTGATAAATTCAAACTGCTTTTTATTTCATTTTCCGGACAGTTATATTTTAGATACCTGTTTCTCCTCACTGTTTGAAAATAGTACAGTAAAACCACTGTAAACTGATCATTGCCCTTGTAAATACTCTGGAAATTATTATTTAGGAGAGTAGCAAAGTATGTTACAGACATCTGAAAACAGGTCAATATCACAAAGGAATAAATATTACGAAAGAAAAGCCATTAGTCTTCAAGCAAATAAACTCTCAGTGATTTTTGTATGCATTTGTTCTAGAAGAGGCAAAACAAACCTGACCTGTAGCAATTTGGGTCATGAACTACAGCTGCAGATATAACATGGAGAGCAGACAACACGCAGACTGCACGGCGTGAGGGCAAAGAATCACTCTTCACAGCAGTTTGCCCCAGGGAAATGTAATTTCTAGAGACGGCGGCGAATCTAACTGATTCAGTGCCACTGAGTCTGGGGAGCAGGACACAGGGTGATGGGATGCGACTCATTTATCTCTGGGTGAGCCTGCAGTGATGCGTTACGGACTATTATCACTAAGCGATACAGAGAGCACTTGTCTAGAGAGACCCACTCTGGTTTGGGACAAAAAGAAAAGTGCTATAAATGGTTGCTAAGTCCTAGTTGACTATTACAGTGAAAACACTGTATTGATATCAAAATGCTGTTGACGTGAATCCAAAGGGGTTTTGTGGAGAGCCTAGATAAGATTTTAAAAACTGACTAGTGTTATGAGCTGATTGGGACAATTTTACAGAATTATTATAAACTGAAACAAACTGTTGCATGCAGAAAGATTTAAGAGAATTTCTTTGTAATTTTAGATAGTAAAGTTTTGGAACTAAAGACACAACAAGTGAGTCTCTGTACTTGGGAAAAGAGAGTATTAGCCTATTCTCCCAGAGTGTGAGTTTGTGCATCCACTGGATCTTCAGCAGCAAAGAATAGCTAACTCTGCTTTGAAGGAAACAGACGAAGGACTTGAACATAGGGTTCCTACAGGCTGGAAAACCCCAGGGAAGTTCCTGTGTGGTGGTTTGTCTTTTTATGAAGTTTGTATATTTTTTATCTGAGAAATCCTGAGCACTTCTATGCAAGCTCTCAGCAGCGGATCTACAGTAAAGTTTGATTATGCAATCGTTAGCATAGCCAAACTGTAGCATGCCACGAAACTGCGTGTTTTGTAGAAGGAGCTGTTGCCCATTTGTTATCTATCTAAGGAGTGAGGAGTGATACCCTGTATCACATTAGCACTCAGACCAACGGCATAGTCAGCCTTTACCAGGGCAGAGGCAAATGTGGCATTTTTTTTTGTGACTCACGTGATGAGTTCCTTTTTGAGATCTCTTGAATGGACCTTGGGTTTAGGACTTGGTATGGAGACATCTCCTGGATACTTCTTTTCCTCCATGTTTTCTGGAGAGCTCACTGGATCTTTCTGAAATATTAGATGAGAATATGACAAAAGGTTTCACTCTGCAAGGTCTCCCATATATTCAACAAATAACTTGCTGTGGCAAGAAGAGAACCTCTTGGAAAACACTAAAAAAAGTCATAAGAAACGGTGGAGAAAGATGAAGAAAGTTTAGCACATCATAGTTTCAGATTCTCATAGGTAGATTTTTTAAAATGTTGTGAAAGAATTTCTGAAGGCAGATGCTGTTTTAAGCTATACATAGGGAAAATTTGGTTTCAATTTATGAAATGGTGATAAAGAACAAAGAAAAATACACACACAAAAAAGTAATTGTTGAATATATAGAGTCAAGCAAGACTTTGGAAAGCATGTTTTGTTTTTTTCTGTGCAAGTATATCACTGAGTTTTTATATAGTTGAAGTGAGTACCATTGTACTGTGAATTACAAACTGCAATCATAAATTTAAAAAAAAACTATTGTACATAAACATGCATAAGTGCAAAGCTTTTTAGAATTGAATGACTTGTTATCTTATTCAAAGAGCAGTTTCTTGTTAAAATGAAAATCATAAGAACAAAACCACTTTGAAATTTTCTTAGTAGCAGGCTGCTAAAGGTAGTTCTTGATTTCTACTATTTGTAGATTAAAATTCTCACTTCTACGGTGCTGTTTGATGGGTGATGTAGACCATGAGTATTCACTCCCCTGGGAAGACATTTTGGAAATCTGGGGTCCTGAAAGGAAATTACATTATTGTTTTCTGAAAAATCTTCTTTGATCAATTCAAAATAGCTTGGTTTATACTGTTTTGAGAATTAATGACTTCAATTGTTATTATTATTTCTATGAAGGATAAGTGTTTCCTTTCTGGAGGGATGCTCTGTGGATATTGCATCATTCAATAATTCTCCAAAGCCCACAGCATCAATTATCGAATCTCTATTAATCCCTGCTGGGACTTCATGTTGGTTTTGTGACTCCGTTCCAATACTCAGGTGGGTATCATCCAGAGGTTACCGTCTGTAGGAGCAGAAACTGCTGCCTGTAGTTGAGGGGAGAAGCTCCCAGCTCCTGCTAAACTCATGGGGCTGGTGCCATAGATGCTCTGGGCTTGTGCAGCTGACGAACATGCCAGGACAGAGGGGCAGAGATGTCTGCAGAGCTGTTAACACAGAGCGGAGGGCTGAGGAGAATCTGGACTGAAAATGGAGATTCTGCCTAACGGGACTTGTAAGCTCTGCGGGGGTGTTTCTTCTGATAAAGCTTCCATATGGTCCTCAATTCTGGCAGCTCATCTTTGCCTGTTTGGAGACTGGATCCTCAATATGACTTCCTTCTGCTTTCTGGTACTGGCTACCTACTGCCTACTGAAACTCACACTACACATACATATAGAAACCGTGCCATGTTATTGCTGTATCAATTACTACTGAATTTTGCAACCACATTTGTAGGGTTAGTTTGTCTCAGAATAATCTCATCTGTTACAAATATAGAAAGCAAAAATACATATATTCAGCTTTTCTAAACACTCTTTCATGGTAATTATCGAGTAATTATTTTAAATAAGAAAAAAGACCTGATATATTTCAGGCTTTTAGAATTTTATTTCTAAAGGAAAACTTCATATAAAGTGTAATAGAGAAAATTAAAACCAATGGTAGGTATTGTTAAAATGTTAGTACAGAAATAATAAATAGTTGAAAGTCCTCCAAACATGGAAACAAAAAAGCTAAAAACCAGAAGTGGGAAAAATGAATGCCAGCTTTGTTCAAGATTCAAGAAACCTCAAAGACTGTTTTCCAACATGGAGTTAAATCCCAGTTCTGGTGGTGTATGGAGGTGGTTTTGCCACTGCAATCTGCAGAATGGGGATTCTACTTCCTGACTCTGTCCCCACATTCTCACCTGCTTTTCTTATAGAAGTGTAAATGCAAGTTCCTACAGGGATCATCACCAGTGTAAGTCACTGCAAAATCAAAAGCTGCCAAAAGAAGCAACAAAACGGTGGATCCTCTGTTGCCAGATGCAAGGGGTTAGATGTCAAAACAACTTCAAAAAACACAAGTAAGGTGTTTTCCAGGCACACATCAGCCTCTTCCACTTCTTGTCAAAGGTCCAGCTGACAGGATCCCAGAGTAGAGGGTGGTGGAGAGACCACTCTGGCACTCCACTGGGATCCTGAACTTTGTGATGTACCTCAGGATGCACTTGCAGCAAACACGAGTAGCTGTGTGTGCTGGAGGGTTTATTAATATTTTTATTTATATAGCTTGTGTTCTTTATCTCAGATGAAAGATACCGCTTGATCTTTTGCTGGTGATGGACCAGAAACTTGTGTGTGTGAGTTATTCATCATGTCACAGTCTGATACCTGCTGCACAGAGAGCGCTGATCGAGAATTATGTATATCGAGGCTCGACGAAATACAGTATTGCAGTTCACAGCTTCATTTAATGATGCTTCACTGAATCATTTAGCAAAAATAAGATTGCAAGGTGAAGGTTGACATGAGTACATCTACAACCACCAGCAGAACTGATACTAGTGGTTTAGAATTGCAGTATTTTCATTTTCTATCTTTGAAATAATAATTTTTTTTGAAATTTTATTTGTGAATTTCCTGAACTGGTTTATTAAGATTTTTAATTTACTTTTTTTTTTTTTAAACCAGTAACTGTGCACACACATACATGCACAAAGACCTATAATTTCATAGTAACTGCTCTTTTGAAAAAGAAAAAATCTAATAATGACTGAAGTGGGAATGCAGTTTGTCTCTAGCTAAGACCCATCTGTGTATTTCCCAGGAATGAAGGAGACATATAGACACTTAAATAGGTGATTTCTCCAGCATTGTCTTAGAACCTTGTGGAACACTTGGTATTATTCAAGAAGCTGTGTAGAAGCTGCAAAAGGAAAACAGTGCAAAGGGAATGCAGGTAGAATACTGAAACTCTGCTTTTCTAGGACCCTACATCAGTACATGTGGCCTAAAAGGAGCTGCATCTGTCTGAAACAAGTAGGTCAAACCTAAAGACCAAATATTTTTTCGCCCTCTGCACTTAGGACTTTGTGCAAAGCATCAGGATCAGGCCTTGGCTTGTGTGCTTCTCCAGTGATTTAGCTTTAGAGGGAGAGATAATCCTTTGGGGAAACGATTTCAGCACTTCCCACTTTTTGGTCTGTTAGGTGATAATCATCACAGCTAGTCAAGTCCAACTGTATGAATAATCTTTCCCTTCCCATTTGAATGGATCTATAACTAAATGCTATTAAAATTCTGAAGAATTCCAGACTAAAAGGAAAACCAGAACCAGCCCAATCAGTCCAAACATTACTATTTTCTGCAAAGAGCATGTGTGTATTCACGCATGCACACTACAGAAAGCAAGCAAGCAATGAAACTCCATTAATGTACAGATGGAAGTTTATATTGATTTCAGCAAAGACCAGAACATAATGGTAACATGAATAACAGATAATAGCATCTGGCACTTTTAACATTTTTAAGCCCTGAAATCTTTGGAGAACTGACAGTTGAACTAACTGACAGCTCTAGTTATTTCTCGGCGCTTTCCTTTTGGAGAGATTTTGAGCTTTTTCCAAATTCAGATATTTTTTTTTTAAGGGGGCATCTGGACAGGCTATTTCACTGAGAGAGAGAGAGACAATATTTTCTGGAAATTACCACCAAAATTAAGCAACTGTTGTGCATATGAACCAGATAACAATGAATTAGAAATAGATATAATCAGTCATTTTTCTTTGCATGAGGATAACTGCCAGTCTTTGATTTGCAAAATAGAGCCTCTGGCCCTGAGATCACCGGACATGTCAATGGTCCCTGGGATGGCAAAAGCTGGCAGCAGAGGTCTGGGACCAGATCCTTGATTCGGGACAAACTGCACAGTGTCAGAGCACCTAGTGCAAGGGACAAAAGTGCCTGAACGTGGATCTTTATGTCCTGTTGAGTCATCCGCTGATGCCTCCAGCTCACTGTGAGGGAGAGGGAAGCAGCCAGCCACCCACTGAGGCCTTCAGAAAGTCAAGCAGGCGTTGTGGGGGGACGCGGAGGTGCTCCTGCCATGGCTCTTTTGCTGAGCTGCGGTGGCAGCAGGGAGGAGGAGCAGCAGGACAGGCCCCCTGCCAAGTCTGCGACACTGATTGATCCCCTGCAGCAAGGCGGTTCTCTCAAAGCTGGATGGTGCTTGTTCATTATGCGGCATGAATGGGGAAGAGCCTGAGCCCTCAGCCTACTGCCTCAAACCCTCTCCAAAACCCTGATACTGGGATCGTGCTCTCATTGCTGAGGTAAGGAGCACCATCAGCCCCACAGAGGTGGCTGCAAAGGGCTCTTCAAGACAACCCAGCCTCCAAGAAATGATTCTGTGTGGTGTAAGTTGTTTCAGTGATCACATAAGAACAGACTACCCAGTGCTGACTATTTTTTTTTTTTTCACAACTGAGCTATCTTTTATTTCCAGGTATTTTTTGGAATTGGAGGCCTGAATTCCCTAACCTCAGCCCTCAAGAAATTTATCCCTGTCTATGTCTTCCTGAAGTGACAGTTTTGATATTTGAACAAAAGATAATTTTGTAATAAATATAATCCTCTAATGCTATGATTTGATATATAAAACCAAATAGTGAGAAAAAAGTATTTGAAGCTGCATAGAAACTCCAAATTGTGAAATCTTTTAGTCTGCTTCAGAAAGCTATCACTTAGGCTTGTCTATGTTTATTACCAAGATTTTATCTAATTAGCCTTTAAAGGTGCTGCTGGTCCCTTCCTGATTTAAGAAAAATGCAAACAATCCATATTCTGACAGCCAGGCTCAAGAAAAAAAACCAAAATCAAACTCAGCAGCAAAATAGAAGAATAAGAAAGACAGACCGTAGGAGACTATGCTGCCTTGTTGCCAAGACAGGATAAACAAACATGAAAGAGCAAAACAGAACCAGAAACAAAATCAAGACAATTATCAAGTTCAAAGTGGCAGTTGAGAAGATTAGCCATAAAAGTTGGAAAGTTATGAAATAAAATTATTTGCTGACATTTTAGTTGCTTTTCTTTGCTCCTGCAACTGCATTTTCAGGTTTAGGTTTTTACATTTTCTAGGACAGCTTGAAAAAATGAGACAACTTTATATACTCATCTAGTTTTTCTATGCTGTTTCCTTATCAAATAAAAAATATCAGTCCTAACAATTTTTTACTTGGTGCTCTCAGACTGTCTTCTGGACCGCTGGACCCACTAGTAAGATCTAAGACTCACTGGCAAAGATTTCTTAAAGTATGTTAAGTGTAAAATAAAAAGTTTTCCACTGAAAGAATATTGCAGGTAAGGTTCTAAACATGCGTTTAGATGCTTAGATATGAGCATCTAGAGTTATGATGAGTTATCTAGAATTATAAGGAGTTGGTGTGGAAAAATTACTTTTTGTTTCAGCATGAAAAAAACATCCTTGGTTTGGTTTTGTTTGGGATTTTCTCCCCTAAATGATCCCTAGACCATTTGGTTGTATGTGCTACGGAACTAAGCCATTAGGAACAAAATTTAAAAAACAGTCATCTCTAATAGTGGATACCTTTGATTTCCTTATCTTAGACACTTATTCACAAGTAGGCACTGAGAGCAAGATTTTTCAAAGTGAGTAATGACTTCTTAGGCCACATGCGAGAGGGCATTTAAGCCAGCTCAATGTTTCCAAACATCTACCTGTGAAAATTGATTCCCTTTAAACTGCACTAGATTGGTCATCCCAAAGACCATCATATGGCCACTCATCCAAGGGAAAAAGTCACTCAGAAACTCAAAAAATACCTCTTTTTCTTCTTCTTTCCTGCCATGGGTCTTGCTGTAGTTGATTGGTGTATCCCAGCCTTCCTGTTCACAAAGAGCCTGGTAGAAGGCTGCATTTACCAAGATGCTGCTTGTTTTGAAAGGAGAAGAGGAAGGAGTGGGAAGTGCTGTGCTGGAAGAAGTGAGAGGCATAACTTTGTCTTGGCTTCGGTTCTTTTTCATGCTCAAATCCAGGGTGCCATTTTCATCCACTTCTATCTCAGCTCCCTGACATGCAACAGGAAACAGAGACATGTTTAGATATGGACATGGTGAGGCTGCAACATAACCATGTGGTGCTTTTAAAGGATAAATATAAATGCACGCTTTTATTTAAATTTATCTGAATCTAAAACCAGCTTTTCGATTTATATCAGTTAATGTCCAACTCTTAGGCAGACTTAAGAGTAGCTTCAGTAATGGTATCCCTGCTTCTCAGCTTAAACATAGTAAGTAGAATTTAAATAAGATGCCTCTAAACCGTAACCTATACACCCTAAATCTAGTTTTATTTAAAAAAAGTTTAGCTTTAAATCTTCTTGATCTTTTCACTCTTACAGAGAACTATGACCCCAATTCACAGTTAAAAGCATTAATGCACTGTTTAGGTCATCAACAGCATTACTATTACATATCTTCCCTTCCCCCCACACCCCGGAAACATTACAACATCTGCATCATGGGGGAGAGAAGGAGGGGGGAAGAAATGTGCCAAAAAGGAGCATAGTAGGAGAAATTTTCAGTAGGGTTTTGTACATCGCTCAAAATAACACAGTGCCTTAATCACAGTTTCACTAGGCCACTAAGGCACAGGTCTGCACTGAGACCACCAGACTGAGAGCCACAAAGGAATCTTAAGGAGGTTGTCCCTGGTGAAGACCTTCAGCATGAGTTAGGAAAGCCTTTGCTACCTGGGAAGTACAGCAAAGAGCAGCCTCTGATTGCAGGTGTGTGTGCAGCTTGGGGATGGACCTAAACTCTCTTTCCAGGATGGGAGAAGCTCTCAAAGCAGCTCCTGCTCACAAGCAGGGAAAAGTGCTGCTCAGGTGTATAAGAAGAACAAGGAAAGGAAAGATCACTCTTCTGCCTTACACTGATAGCAGAAAAAGAGTACAAACACCTCTTTTTCAAATGATGAAAAGCTCCTGGAAGTGCAATTTGCTAATGGAAACAACAAAAAATTTCCCCTTGTGCTCAATACGCAACATTGCATATTGACATATTGTATATATAGGGATGAGTATAAGACTAGTCCTTCCTATTGCTGTCAGTTACTAAAGTTAAGTAGGGGAAGAGGTGAAAGAGAAGGTTTCTTGAGGAGCACTTGGTAGTCTAGTTCTGTGTGTGTTGCCCTGAATAAGGTGGAAAATGTTCAAAGACTGTAGAGATAAATAGCAATGTCACAGATCTATACATGTAGAAAGCTGTAATGAACACTGCTCTGTGTCTTCCTGTTGTTGTCATCACTACTATTTTGTATTTGCATCATCACAAAGCTCAGGTACCATGTGGGAATTTGGGCCTAGATATGTTAGGTGCTAGATATGTAGGACACAGTCATATAAATCCAAATTGAGACTTCCTACCTTGAGTAATATAAAAGTAAACCCAGAGCATAAGTGAGTCATGTAGACCCCCTGCTGTAAATGGAAAAGAGACAGGTATGTCCAGGGAAAAGTTTTTCAATCTTTCTTAGACCTCTTCCTTAGGAAGTGATGAGACACTGGCAGAAAGAGTCCCTTTCTCTTTCTTCTTATTAATTATTGCTAGAGTTTAATGATTAGTTAACCATTTAATGGTTAAAGATATGGCAGTGAAACTTATCTGTGCCTGAGAACTTTAAAAACTGTTGTGGTGAAATACACTTTGTCCTGAAAGTGTAACACGGCCACCACAGTTGGACTGAAGGCACAAACTTCCTTCATGCAGCCTTCTCTTCAACTCCTGCCAGTGGTGACTAATTTAAAGGCAAAATATGTCTGATGAAATCTTTTTAATTAGAAGAAAAATGTTGGTAGGAGATGGAAATTTAGGGCCCAGTGATGTCTCCTCACTCAGACAGCCTGACTCCATTTTGTATCCATGGGCCTAAGACAGATGCCCACCTAGATGGAAACACTACCAAGCCATCTGCTTGTCCCCAGCTCAGAAACTCAGGCACCTCTTATGTTTGCTTCTCCTGCATAGCAAAGTTCACATTTTCAATCATACAGCTTAAAGAGAGAGATGTTTTATTATATTTATGGGAAGTAAATACACTTCTAATATGTTCATACTAAGACGCTTTGGTTATATCTTTCTGCCCCTTTTTAGTAAATAGTTTAATCTCCTGTGATAGTTTTAAGCCCTGAATTTGACAGTGCAGCTTATCCTGGATAATAACTTAGTAACCACAACATCTTATGCCATCTGTATAATATCAAATACATTTTTATACCAGCATTAATAAACCTTAGTTACAAAAATCCAAGATATTAACTATATCAGTGCCAAGCGCACACTCCAGGATCTCACAATATAACTCTGCCATGATCGCCCCAGTGTTTTTTGGCTTCAGAGTTGATATGTAACTATAGCAATGAAACAGAGCTACAGTAATCAAGTTTAATGACCAATGTAAAGTAAAATGCTAAATATTGTAGTTGCTGACATTTTTCATAATAAAAAAACTTGGGTTAAGTCTGCACAACCAACATTCACATAAAATTCCAGACCTCTGTGACAGATGGCTTAGGAAAGGAAGCCATGTGACTGGGCTGCAGTAGTTTTATAGTGCAAAACCCATAAATAGTGCAGATTCTCTGTCACTGACAAAATATCAACTACTCAGAAGGCAACAGCAACAACAAAAGGACCGAAATCAATCAAGGTCCCCTCCTTGATGAAACTGTACATAGGAAAATATCAGGAAGTGTATTGTCTCTGAGAAACAGATACCATTAGCCACAACAAGGAGCTCTGGCTGAAAGGCAGAGCATTTAGTATTGTGGATATTTAAAGCTTCCTCAGCACTTCCCTGAAATTCACGTAGAAGTTGGGTTGTCCAACATGCACCTAATTCTGCTCAGGGAAGGCTGGACTGTGTGTTTGGGAAGTAGCGTACAGATGGGGTTTAAGTGAGCTCACAGATGCACACAACAATTAAATATAGTCACAGAAAAAATATCCCCTTTTGCCTATCGCAGGATGGATCACACGTTTACAGCATGGCTTTTTATTCAGAATGGTATAAAAGAGCTATCACTTTGCTGCCTTCATAGCAAACTCCAAATGGCAGAGCAAAAAGAGAGGATAGTCAGATACTGCTCCAGTTTTCATTCCTACTCTCATCCCACCCTCCTCTCAATATGTCTCCTTTGCTTGTTTTACCATGTTTATTTTTACATTAATTTTAAAATGGAACTAAAAAGACAAAAATGGCAAATGGCAAAAACTGCTAGAGCAGTGCTATGACATGCTGACAGAAAATGGCACTTACTGTGCTTAGCTCAGACTTGCAAAGGCTGTTTTCTCTCCGGTGAAGGCAAGATCTTATATACTGTTGACTTCAGTGCATGTGTGAATAGGCCTATATTTATCCATTTATCATGACATATTTAAAACATAGCTACCAAAACAATGTAAACTGTTCTGATTCTTCCTAAAAACTGTGAGAAAAATAAAGATGCAAATGCATCTTATTATTTCCTAACTTACATTAATTTATAGCTGTGTAAATCTTTGGAGCTTGATTTTGATCTTATTTACATTTACATTCACATTCACATTCATGTTCACATTTACATTTACACTGGTGTAAACCAGGAAAAAATCCACTGAAACAATGAAGAAAAATCAATGATGTTGAGAGCTTACACACGATAATTGAATTTAGGTTACTCCTTACCTACTCACACAACAGTGACAGTGCAATCACCCTCACAGCTTTTACAAGCAGCTGGAAGAAGGGTTCCAGAATAAAAAATGAGAGAAAAATGACCAAAACATATTTTCTTTATTCCCAGATCTATTCAGTGAAAAGATAAGGTACAAGTAGTACTCTACTATGATTATCTATCTAAAATGAAGAATAATATAAATATGTAAACAAAAAAAAAAATGGTGTCTATCCTTTTCAAGTGCTTTGTACTTTAAAGTCAAGCTTTTTCAGCCTCCTTTATTTTATGACATAAATATTACAGAATATTTTCTAGTACATTATTAAGTCTTGTCCTTAGAACTGAACTACATCATCCAGGACAATAAAGGATGTTGTTTTTTGTGATAAATTACTCCTGTATTTTTTCTTATGCTTTTGGTCCATCTGATCACTCACAGCATTTAATACTCTGCAGTGTGTCTCCAGTAACGATTACAAGTTAAGCTTTATCTCATAGCTGGATCAGGAGGAGTGAATTATTTTGCCTGCATGAATCTTATTTCAAACTTGTGACCTTAGGGAGATTGGATCATTTCATATAAGGGGGTTTTATGTATTCTTTGGTTGGCATCAGCCATACAACTTAATACTAGGTAAGTCCAAAGAAACAACATTAGTTATTTCTAACATTAAACAACATTATCAAAGATTTTACATTCTCATTAGCAGTTCAGTCTGGTTTGGAAAACCCTAAAGGGCTCTTTAGTTCTGGTATTGGGAGTAACTCTGGAACTAATATCTTGCCATGTTTATGAATACTATTCTTAATGCAACTCCATGCAAATGAGTAAAATCTTTTCTATTCCCAGCCAATAAAAATACATCCACATGGTCTGCAATTCTTTAGACTTAAATTTAAGCAATTGAGCTCTGCATGAAACTAAAATACTAATTTGGGTCAAAATAAGAAAACATGTAACTGCCCAGCTACATCTGAGACAAAAATGAAGTCACAATTTCAGCCCAGAGCAATTCACAAATTAAAAAAGCTAGCCAAGAATGTACTCAAGGAGCAATATGCACAGCAGTGTAACAGGATGGTACCTAGTGATATTCTTGGCTGATTTCTCATCCTGTATTTAGGCTTTAAGGTATTTGGAGTAAAGGACTGCCTGAAAAACGTGCTGAGTACTAACTACATTGTTGAAATAATTGATGTAATTATCACCATCATCAATATCCAAGAATGGTGAGATGACATAATTTTGTTCAAAAACAGAATTTGAACTTTAAGCATTTTTAGCAAGTGTCATTTTTTGTTTTCTTTCAAGGCATAGTGTGCATATGCCATTTTGTCTAAACAGGTGGGAAAAACACCAAAACAGTCAACAAAATGTTTGGCAAGCAGTAGTGACGAGGATACAGATAAACTGTATCGCTTGCAGCTACCTCTGTGAGACGTGAATGTGGTGAAGGCTGTAAACAGGGAAGATCCCTGGATGTTATGATGACGTAGACTCTTGCGCTGTGCTAGAAACCAACAGCTGAGTTTTCTAGGGCACTCCTTCTGTTGACTTCAATGGGAGTTGAATGAAGCTACATAAATTGTAAATCAAATGCAACCAGGAGACTGGTTTGGGGTACTGACCGCATGAAAATTGGCTGATCAGGATTGTATTCAGGGGAACAGTTTACTACAGGCCCAGGTGGAGGTTGAATGGCTCAGCCAATGTAACATTAATATGGTATTAATCGTTTTTGAAAACAATTATCATCAAGGTATCTGATGATCTTAGTGTTTTTTATGCAACCGATAGATAATTCACAGAGAAAGTTTAGGATCCATTTTACTGTTCTTTTCAGAATAAATTTATTCTTTAAATTGCATAATTTATAAATCCATAATTTTAATCTTGAAGTATCTGGTGGATCACCTTTGTACATGAGACATTTTTTGGTAGTTCTGCTTATCAATGGCACTGCTAATGTGTAATCTGATTTGTCTAGCCTTGCTGCCCTTCTCTTTCTTTTTTTTTGGCTTAGACTTTCTCTTTTGAACTGATATGTAGACAATGTGAGAGCTATCTCTGAAAATCCATTAAATTAATGAAATTTGAAACTGTGCTGTAAAAAACATTTTCATTTAAGTATCTTCTATATTTACAAAAAAATGGTGAACATTCAAGGTAAAACATCTAGCTCTTACTAAGAAGTGGACAACACTCTGGAGGTCAAGAAATAAAATTTGAGAGATGGAAAGAAAAAAAAAAACTACTTCAGCATATTTTGGTGTTTTCCCCACGGGTTTAAGCAAGGTGACATATGTACGCCTTGAGTGAACACAAGCAAATAACACTTGCTTGAAATGTTTGAAGTTCAGATTCTGCTTTTAAAACGTAGCAGCAGAGTATTTTTACAGCTCTGACCACTGTGTAATTGCAAAGGATTTCCTGCAAGTCCAGGAAATCCTCTGCAGTCCCACATGTCCTTGCTCTACCACCATGCTGTCTCCCACCTGCAAAGGGTCATGGCTTGGATTGCTGGGAGGCTGCCTGATGCTCATGTGAGAGCAAACACCTTTACAAATCAGGGGATTTGGTCTGCTAAAGTATGGGTGATGCTAATCAGGTTTTGTTAGGCAAAGGAGCAAAGAAATGTGACAGAGGGCAGGGCTTAGAGGTCTAAACCCTATGGGGCTCTGAACACAATCACCCCACACAGGTGTTTTCAGACCTGGTGCTATGTGTGTGCTATCAAGACTAGAAAAAAGAAATCATTAACTCTGTACTCATCTGCTGATGCTGCATTATTTGAGTCCAAATACTGATAAAGTCTCAAGAGATGCTTTTTATCTTCTAAAAATTTGTAAGATATTCTAGCAGTTAACTTTGCAGCCAATGCCAGCCACAAAACAATTCAGAAACATTGATAAATAGATAGTAGTCTCTTTAAAAACAGCCTTATTTTTTTCTTCATATTTTAAAATAGGAAAGTGTCTTCATTGAAGAGAGTCTGGAGACTTATTTCCACAATTTTTTGTTTGAATTCTGTATGATAAAAGTAATAAATAGCCAAAAACAAATAAAAATGAGTTTTTTTGGGTTTTGGCCACTGAACCTGTTTGGGGCTTACTTGCCTGTGTTCTGGCCAGGAGCTAATTCTGATTCTTCTGTCAGATGTTTTGTAGCAGCATGCCCTCCAGAAAGTCTGGCAAAAGTGGAGGCAGGCAGATAGCAAGGTATGCAGGTGATTTTCTTTTAGGCTGGATTCCTGGCTGTGAAAAAGGAGTAAGCTATGTGCCCCAAGTGTCCTTCTATATCGTTACTGTTATGTTCACTTCCATTCTAACCTTCCCCATGATTTGGCAACTGTGAAGCAGGTATGGAAGAGAAAATCTTTGGGTTATGCCTGGTCCCTTTACTGCTCTTCTCTGGCAAGAAGGTCTATTGCTGAGGTCAGCCAAAGGCTGCGGCAGCAATTTAATCCAGCCATTGGCATCAGTTTCCATTTTCCTGCTAGAAGAAGCCTCTACTGAAGACCAGAGGAAGGAGATCTCTGCAGCAGATACCACAGATGGATCTGTGATCTGCGAAAGGTTCCATGAGCAATTTTGGGGACGGATAAAGTTTGTGTTATGGAAGATGCATGTAGGCACACTCTAAAAAGTCTACTCCAGTGCATCTCACAACATTTATTTCAAGGTCTAAGGCTTTTAGAAATCAAAGGCAGCAAAGTAGAGGACACCACCCTGCAAAGGAGCAAAGCCTGGAATACCTACCAAGGTGTTACACTGATGGTAAAAGAAGTGGTTCCCTCAGAGAGTAACAGCTAACATTTTAGTGATCCTGAATGGAGGCCCAACCAAATTGTAGACCAAGAGCTGTGGAAGTCATCTCTGGTCAGACTAAGCTGGGGCTATAATAGACAAGGTGGAGCGACACTGACTTGCAGAGAAATAGGTCATCTGTCTTCAGAGCACACATTGAGAGTCAGAATCCCAGAGCAGAAACACACCTGCTGCTTTGTGTTTTGATAAATACACTTCTTTTTACTCCGCAGTGAAGTCTTCTGAAGTTCTTGTAATGGCATCCTCTCATCTACATAGAGCTTTCAAAAGTTTCATTGCAGTGGAGCATGTGTGACTTTAATACAAATAATAAACAACAGTGCTCCCACAACCACAGTCATCAGAAGAAAATCTTGTCTATTTTCATCAGTGGTATAATACTATGTAATGGCACTGAAAATAAGGCTCATAGCTCACACAGTACCATTTGTAAATCATAAAGATCTGTGAGGAAACGCAGAGCAGAAACCAAAACATGAAAGCCACACAAGCATCTACGGTATTAGGCAGCTTTCCATTATGACAGACTTGCCCAAATTATCTATCTCCAAACGCTGTGGGCCTGATTCTCCTCTCTTGCCAGCAGAAAGGAGAATTTTACCAAAGTCAGTTGTTATTTCCCTCCCTACCCCTTGTCAAACTGTCATGAGCTCCAAACACAACAGACTCAATAGGTGTAGTTCTGTTCCATTGCTAGCAAAATACCACCTTGATTAATCACATGTGGGGCTTTTGTTTTTTGATTTTTTTTTTTAATCAGCCTCCAAAATGATCGCTTATGGCAGGTTTCAGAGGGAGGAAAATTCCCTCTTTAAACAGATATAACTCATTATCCACCGCAAATGTTGCTGGATTTCAAACATCCTCCTTTTTTCCTCCCACAAAACTCCCCCTTTGTATTTAGGGCTCAATTATGAAAAGAGTAACAACATAATTCCTGCTATTTATTTATTTTTATCAGAACTGGTCACTACATTACTGATATTTAATTTTATTTCTGTCTCTCTTCAAAAGAGCATGCAAACAGAAGCCTCCTTTTTGGGGATTTAATGCAGTCACTAACATGAAAGACAGTTTATTCGCACAGTTCAGTAGCTAGCACACCCTCCAGGTTCTTGGACTACCCTACCTTGGCAGACAGACTCTGTGGTTTGTTGGAGAGGATCTCTGCTGCTTCCCTGCAGCGGGTGGAAAGGTTCAGGATAGCAGCAGCTGCTGCTATGTGGGTGTCTTCACTACATTGACCGTAGCTATAAGAGTTGGCATGGCAAGGGCTCTGTGTGTGGGCGCTAGCACTAGGCAGTCGATTAGAAAATTTCACTGGATTTGAAAAATGCTTTGCTGTTGAAGAGAGATTTGATTAGCAATTGCACGTACGAGATTTTTCCCATTAAATAGTTTTGTTTCTCAGACTACAATTTCATACATTAAAATATTCAAAGAATACATTTAAAACAATCCATTTCCTATTGGCAGTAAGTATTTGCTGTAAAAATGGCTTCAGAAACATGATAATTTAATTTTTACCCAACAAATACACATCTTTCGACAAAACAACTGAGACTTCTACTCAGATTTTATTAATTCTTTACTCAGGCATTAAGAGCAATGATGTCCAAGAAAAGACTGAACAAGCATTAGTGTTATCCATTGTGACCTGACAACACATGTGGGCAAATGCAATTATAAATGTAGCCTTATAAAGGCTTCTGCTTGGAGTTCTGTTATGTAAAAAGCCAACAGTGACTTGTCCAGTCTTAGCTAAAACAACACTGCTTACCCTACTTAAATGAATAAGTCTGTTATTTATAAAGCTTTGCTTATGTGAGTAAGAAGAACAAGACCAGGCTCTTGAATGAACCAGATCAATCAGGTAAGAACATTACCTGTCAGGAATATTCAGTCCTGATTTTGTGGATTTTTTTTTGGAAATTTAAGTCTACCCTTTAATCAGTTAAAAAAAATAATGATAATGAACACTCAGAATAACATTGATCTTGGCTCACTGTCTTATGTTGGCTGTCATTTGGAATAATACACAGATTTATTCAGCACAAAGAGGTCAGTTGAGAATGAAAAACTAACAGGTGAACAGAAAAGCGCTTTCACAGACACAAGTGGTTCTTTGTTTTCTGCTTCATCAGCAGCACTTACTCTAAAACAGGTAGAAAGAACTCTGCTCTCTGTTCTGGATTTTGGAGCTTGAAATGTCATTAATTGTTGCAGGCAAAACACAACACTATGATTTCAGCTCTTAGGAAGAAATAATCACTTCTTTTGTCTGGAGCTCACACAGCGCCCTACAAAGATAAACTAAGCAAAATCCAATTTCTCAGCCTACACCCAGATACACCAAGAACATTTCTGCAGATGCCCATCTGCTCGCTCCAGAAAGATCTGAGCCTCAAGGCTCTGGATCCCGTTGGACGTAGAGCTTTGGCTTGAGTGCATTTTAATGCCAAGACATACACAAGACATTGAAGATGTCATCTTTCCTCAAAGTTGGGATGCTCTCAGAGCAATGCTTGTTTGTGTGCACAGACTGTGGCTGTATTCAGTTTTTCTAGCTACTGGAGGCATCTCAATAGAGCAATACATAAAAGCTTCATGATTCAGTTCTCCCTTTCTGCAGTGCAAATGAAAAGGGATTTATCCAGCCTGCTGTAACACTGTAGAACAAGCAAGAGGGTCTGCAATTTTAGCAGTTACTACAGCTAACTTCAAACTATATTTAAAGAGCAAAAAAGTGCATTTTCCATTATGCACCCTAAAAGACAAAAAATAAAGCAGGCTATGAGGGATGCATGTTTTGTTAACAAATCAAGTTTATAAGTCCGGAATCCACAGCGGGCTAATGGTGGGGTTTTGGGTAGCTACATATTTACATAGGACGCTGAGCCAATCACTGCATCATCAGCTTCTTATTGCCAACTTTAGTATATCTGCATAGTCAAAGCACTCACCTGCTCTTTTACTTTCACCTTTCCATTAAAATAATAGCTGCACACTGCAATCTTTGTAAGAACTACAGGCTGCAAACTTCAGCCCTGATGTACATTATACATAAATTGCATATGTATGGATTTGCATTTGTATAAAAACATTTCAATCATTTTTTCCTTGAAACGAACCTGTGAAATAGACATACATCTGTGCAAAGAGACAGCTAATAGGGAATATTCAATTTTACAAACAAAATTGGAAAATCTGCCACCCAAGAAGCTGGCAATGCACATATTTGCTTTCATTTGAACAGGTCTATTTTCCAGGCCAGATAAATATCTACTTTTCATTTGCAATTTTAAATAGGGTATTTATATATACACAAACACATACATACCTACAAACTATATATACGTGTGTGTGTACCCAAGCACCTACACAAATAAATATACAAATACACAAATTTTATAAACGTATAAAACATATGTAATATTATACAGCATTAGAAGATTATTATGTTATATTTTGTTGTATTCTATATATATATAAATTTTTCTGCTTTTCTGTTCACCTTACTATGAATGTTCTCCTTTGTTGAGATAAGTGGCATGCAATTTGTTTTCCTTTTTTGTTTTCCTTCACCAAATTTTTTGTTTTCCTTCACTAAATGTTTTGTCATGGCCAAAATGAAAACCAACTAAAGAGGCTTTTGTCACATTGTTTTGGATCTATTTTCTTCTGAACCCAAATATGGTGCAATGAAACCCCCTCATGGCAACAGAATAATTTGTTTCTTTGAAATAAAGAGGTATTTTATAATGGTCAACGCAATGGCAGAATCTTGCTGAAGTTTCCCATGCAGATTGTGAAGAGCATCTGCAATAAATGATCAGTGTTTGCACTGTAGTATCTAATTTGTACAGAACAGTACCTCAGCAAATCTGTAAGTGATGCAAGCAGAGGAATCTTAACAACAATTTGATACATTGAATATGTCTGCACTACAAAAGTTATGTAGTATAGATACATGAGATATCAAAATGAATTAAATCCAGACCTGGAAGTAATGCAGACAAGGCACATGGTCATCTAGGAGGAATAATACCTCTATGGATTCATCTAAAAAGTATCTGAAAAGCTTTTTAAAGCCTAACTGGTATTTCTCTGTACAATTGATTACATCTTGTGCAAACACATTCCATGGCACTTTGCATGGCAGCATCCTATCACATAAAGATACCACAATTTAGCCAAGGAAGAAGGTAACAGATAGGACATAAATCATTCCTTTTTACTCCTCCTTTCCCCATTATATTTGCTTTTAAAAGAAATATCAGAAAAGTAAAACTTATAGTGATGACATTTAGCATTCTATAATTCTATATTTAGCAAACTTGTGATTCTATTTAGCATTCTGGTCACACTAAAGACAATTCCTACAGAGATTTTTTAACTCTATAAGTTTGAAAGCAGAACAAACAAAACAGGAAAAAAAAAAGTAATTGACATTTTGTCCATTTTTAAAGAGATAATGGAATTTCAAGCTTACATTCAAGGAACTGGGGTGTTTTTCGTCCTTGTGCCACAGGTGCTATTGTGCGTTTGCCAAAGACTTGTGCATCAAAGCTGGCATAATCAAATGGTACTTTCCCAAACTTCTCCTGTTCTTTTGTCAGGGTGGCTCTGGAGGAGGTGACTGGCTGTGAAGTTCTGTAATTATATTGAGTTACTTCCGGCTGTTTTGCTAAATTTGTCCTGCAGAGAGTAGGAAAAGAATCAATGAGAAACACAAGAATATCTTTCAATAACCTTTTCTTGCAAAATAGGGTACAGTTGCAACTCAGTATCAGAAAGCGTGCTGTCACCACATGTGAATCTTACTGGTACGTGTATACAAGAAATAAATAATGTAAATATGGTGGCTGACCTACTAGTCAAAGAGTACTTTGACTTCATACATTAAAAAATCCAATATTCTGTAGTAACAATGTGGGCTATTTACAAAAAAAAGATACTGATTTTCTTCTAGATTACCACTATAGTGTGGTGCTTTATTTCTTTCTAAAAATTGTCTGGATTTTTTTCTAGTCAAAGGACTTGCAGTTTATACATCACTATTGTTCTCACTTTACTGTGCGTGAGTATGGTATAAATATAATGTAAGATGATCCAGAATAATTGCTTCTGTTATTTGGGAAGAAAGAATGATTTATGGTGTGTTATTCCATTTAGTTACTGTTCAGTAACTACTTGTCTTTAGTAATTTCCTAAGGACTTTTCATATATGGAGTTAAGGCACGTGCAGTTGGCAGACACATGGACATAATATTCCGTAATGGCTCTGAAGGAACCATTAGAGCTGATCATGTCAATAATCCACAAATTAAAGTGTCCCCAAATAGACCTGAATATAATAGGTTGTAATGTTTGTGGTGCCAATGATGTGCAAATTATGCATGTCTGTAGGGTCCATATAACCCTCAAACAAAATACAATTGCAATAAAAAAATGTTTCCCCTTTTTGATGCCATTTTATAAAAAATAAATTAAACTAATTAAACCAATAAACTTAAAATAAAGAAATTCAAAATAAGAGCTATTCAATGGTGGGGAAACCAAATGAACAGCATCCTCAGTGCTTTTAGATAACTGCAATGCCAATGCAACAGGCTACTTGGGATCACTGGAAGATTCTCCTGAAAAGAATCATGAAATAAATGAGGAATGTGATGCTAAAAGTGCAATAAGGTCAAAGAGATCTTCAATCAAGTTTCAGTGGCCAAAATATTGTAACAAAGGAGCAGTTCTTGAGAAGTGTTTAAAACATTTCAGCAAGATAGGACATGTGGTTTACAGGAGAAAGACATTTCAGAAACATTGATTAGGCTATTTGTGTGGAAGTAAGGTCTATTAGAATATATTTGATTGCTTTTCAAAAGACGTGTCTGTTTTGTTGAGCCACACAGAGAAGAACCAGCAGAACACTGCGTGTTAATTTTGAGACACAGTCAAGTAATTTAGCTTTGCAGAGGTTCATCTTGGAATACTGACTTGTTTTTGTAGCTAAATCTGAAATGGGTGAAAGCCCTGAGGAGAGCTCAGCAGAGTTTGTGTTGAAATTCTTTGGAGACATTAGTTCCTGAGGGCTCCTACCTGTGAGTCTGATCATGGCACTGCCCAGCTTTCGGAGACTCGAGCTGGATCTTCTCCTGGGACATTGCCAACTTTTCAGCTGCAGCAATTGGACAACCAGAAAGGCTGTTTAAAAGCAAAGTGAAGAAAAGAAACAAAAAGAAAAAAAAAAAGAAAAAACAGCATTAAAACAAAATCTTAAGTAAAGGAAATGTGTGCTGTCGAACCGGTGAAGAAAAGAAACAAAAAGAAAAAATAAAAATACAGCATTAAAACAAAAGCTTAAGTAAAGGAAATGTGTGCTGTCGAACCCAATGACTTCAAACTTCTCTGGTGCTCCATGCCTCTATGTGAGCTGCTGCTGCTGTTGTAGCCCAGATTCATCTGTCCCATGCCTCTATATGAGCTGCTGCTGTTGTAGCCCAGATTCATCTGTTTTTCAACCCTTAATGCAAAACTGTGAAATCTGTGTATTTGAGGTGATATATCTGGAAACTGAATCACGTAGGAGTTTTCCACAGTTCAGCTTTGATGTTTTGTGGCTGGCAAGTCACTAGTAAATTTTTTGACAAATGACATTTACTTTATCAGCTAAACCATGCATATAAGCCTCCTGCTGATTAAAAGGAAAGTGAATTTGGGAAAAAAAACAGAGGTATCTGAGCAACTGTTACCAAATAACATATTTTGTCATTTCAAGATGTGCTTTGTTTTTTTCCTATTTGCTTTATTAGATTAGAACATGTTTTCTTATCCTATTCATGGCTTGCTTATGACACAGCTGATGCGCTGCAAAGATGACTGGGGATTTAAAACAGGAAACACAATGAAAAAAAGATTTACTGGTTCCTTATATATTCTTGTAGCTGAGCTTATAATATATCTGGTAAAGACTAACTTTTTGTTTTAAAGATGGTAACATAGTATGATAATCCTTGATTTTCGGTGCATTCATACAACAACCAATCAATCAATCAGCAGGAAAAAAAAGAAAAGAACAAAATTCAGTTCCGCAAAGAAAGTTGGTTTTTAAATCTTTCTGTCACAGGTTTGGTTGTAAGATTGACATTTTATTTTTCTAGAGGCACTATGGTGGAATATTTTGGCTTGCTGGCTTCCAGCAGAAAGCCGTGCCGCCAGCAGTGGCTTGTTGGAGACAGCGAGCATCAGCCCTCTGCCCCACCTGCAGCCCAGACATGATTCCCCAGCTGCCTGGCTGGAAGGCTTTTCTCAATTTTACTTTCTCCCTGCAGGCAGCAAGTTAAACAGACAAGAGTGTTCCAAGTGGGAAGACGACATTCCTGAGGGTAATAAATGGAGTTATTTCTTACAGGAATTCCAAAATACTCCACTTAAAATTTCCTGTTTTGCTAAGAGGAAATGTGCCTTGATGGGAAGTTCCTCTCAAGGACTACCACGTATGTGGTGCAAAATGAAGAGTCTTTGATTTCCACTGGGTTTTCCAACTGTAGCAATAATAATGTACTTGTTCATTACTACCCATTTTACACCATAGTGTTTCACTGGGAAGACTGTAATGAAACTGTAGTTTGAAATGTCTTCTCTGAAAAAGACTAGTGGAATTTGCCATCCTCAGTGCTGCAGCCATTTTTTTTATGTAACAAAATCTAACACAAGTATTTGGTTATATACATATATATACATATATACATATATATACAGGCTATCCCAGTTCATAGGCATTCCAAGATGTGCCCATCAATTTACTTCTGAGTACGTTACACTTTAAGCAGACAGGAACTTTTCTGATCTACCTTCTGTGTGTGTTGCGATTGCTGTTGACATGTCCTCTTCCAGTGCATCCTGGGGTGGGGCACTTTAAAACATTTTCATGCATGGCAAGAACTAAACAGGAATAAGGAAAAAAGAAAGTCATAATAGAATACAACAATTAAAAATAACTATATTAAAAGTATGAACCATTCTTCTTCAGACTTGGATTCTCAATTCCGTCACATTTTGACCACAAAAGAAAAGGAGAAGCAGAGGACCTACAACACAGTCAGGCTGTTGCCCTCAGCATATATAACTTTATTCCTACATTGCTCTAGTATGGCTTCCCACATGCACATCTCTCCCATGTTATTTCTATGGACTTCAAAAAAACAAAGGCAGAAGCTAGCAAGGACGTTGAATCATGAGACCCTTTGCCCTCTGGTTCATACGCCACTAATACAGATGACTAGAAAAAGCATGTACCTTTCTAATGCCCTTTGATGTGGATTGTTTTTACTGAGAGTGAGATGTATGTCTCTGTAAAACAGAATATGTCTCTGTACGTCTGCTCTCATGACTTCTGTACTGCATTACCCCTTTGGGTGCGCAGTGCTTCAAAAAAGATGATCGTTCAGTCAACTGGTTTGTTCTGTCAGGAACCACATTGAGATTACAGATAATTTTGTTTGGCTTTTTTTTTGTGTGTGTTTTTTGTGTTTTGTTTTTTTTTTTTTCTCCAGTAGGACAGAACGCAGCTGATTGGAAGTGTGATCATTAATAAAGAGGTATTAATTTTAACTTTTTAAAAAGTTAATGTTGCTAAGGCGTTCCAAATGCAGCAACTTGCTTAACTCAGCAGATGTTTCCATAAATACAGGTTAGTACCAGATTTAAAAAAAAAAAGGGAGAGCTACAGTTAGGAATAGGACGTTGATAAAGTGCAAGTGCCCTTTTGATTTGTTATGCATACCACCACAAAAAAAAAAAAAATCTAACTAACATGGTTGCTTAAATGAATAATTTCACATTAGGTTTTGGTTTATTATGCAGCATTTCATAATAATCTAACTAACACGGTTGCTTAAACGAATAATTTCATATTAGGTTTTGGTTTATTATGCAGCATTTCATTGCATCACGTTGCAGGATTATACACACACCAACCGATGTAATCAGATCGGCAGTTAGAAATAAGCAGGGTAGGCTGGGCATAGAAGGGTTAGCACAATACAAGCAGGATATGCTGTGGACCCAGTGCTGGGAGGTTACTGATGGAAGTAGCCTTTTTGAGCTCAGTGGTGAGGGGGACACTGGAAACATCTCTGAATAAGCATGCCCAGGCCTCTCCGTTACTGGCAATGAAAACCAGCAACCTGGGTGTGTGAGTGCGGCAAATCAGGTCGCAGGGCTGAAACAAGCAGGTGGTTTCTGTGCTGCATGCCTTAGCAAAGGCACGGGCAAGCAAGATCTTGATTCATAAGACTATGGCATGCAGGTCTGATGGCAGCATGGGGATAGTTTGGCTCTTATCTTATTCCTTCCGAGCCACCTGAGGAGCTGACTGATGTTTGTAACGCTGCTGCTAAAGAGTATGTGAGCTTCATGTGTGTGGGAATTAGGACTGTGACTAAGAGCTGGAGGACAAAGGACATGTGATGGCTCCTCTCTCAGCTTCGTTCTGCAGCCTCAGCTGGAAAAAGTGGGCTGCTTCTCCAGTATGAGCACACACTACCCACAATACCGGGCCAGATCCAGCTGTTATTCTGGACCGCAGGGTGACGATACTCACTTTCTAGTGGCACTCTAACTTTATGTGGACAGCCTGAGAGACTGCGGTGGTGAGGGTACAGCCCAGTCACGTGCCCTGTGCCATCGCATCCTGGGATGGGACATTTGGTTTCTCTCTTTTCAGGCCTGGGTGAATCTGCAGAGAAATCAGATAAGGGTTTTGTTTGGTTTTCGCCTCAGTCTGCACTCAGCTGAACCATCTTTGCAGTGTGATACTCTTCATTTTGTACTCCAGATTTAACTCCTACACAAAGTTTTGAGATGTATGCAATTTAAGCACATCTAGGATTTTACACTGTGTCCTTTAAACAACAGCTTCCACCTCCTGATATGCCATTTATGTGCTAAACTATATAGCTTTAGGATGGCAGTGTCATTTATTCCATTCAGAGCCTCAAATAGGACAGAAGCCACAATCCAATAAGCCAGAAAACTGGCAGCATCAGCCAACAGCAAGATCTATAAAGGAATAAATAAAAAAAACCCGAGAAACAATCTTTTACTCTGTTAATGTCAGACTCCGGGAAGCTGGGACGACCAAATAAAAGCTGAGGTGTGAAACAAACAAACAAACAAACAAAAAGCATTTCAACCAGAAGCCATTCCTTAAATATCGCAGATCTCTAGGCTGTGGGTTCTTTGTTAGGGAACTGAATACATGCCACTTTACATTTGAGAGGCAAGGCAAGCAGCTCCCTCTGGTACACATGGCAATGCCGCTTTGTGGAGCAGCCCACAATGACAGAGAAAACATGGAGCAGCCGATACCCTTTCAAAGGCGAGGTCTCAGCCCAGCCCCACAGCTACCACTCTGTAATAGCCGCAGTGCATTCCCAGCTTTTGTTTCGAGCACCTAGAATGGTGCAAGAAGCACTGGTCAGAAAGCCTTTATTTGATTTCCAACGCGGGATCAAAAAGTCTGGGCAAGGAAGGAATGAATTCTGGTCCAGAAATTCTCTTGTGAGAAATCTGGAGGAAGTGGCCGCATAAATTGCTGAGGATGGTTTTAGCTCCATCTGTGATTGGCTGCCAACAGCATTCGGCGCTGGGGGAGAAAACAGCTGCAGCCAGAACAGGGAGCAGCCTCCTTCAAGCTCATTTTGTTGGACCGCGAGGTAAGGCGACATGCTTGGGGACAGGAGGGCCAGAGACAGATGAGGGTTAAACTTCCTGGCAGGGCTTTAGATTAAAAAAAAAAATTAAAAAAAAATAGTAGGAAAGAAAATAGACTGAGCATCAACAGGAGACCACACGCTTTTGAGAATCACTGCAAATGGAAAGTGCTGCAATAGTGGACAGAAAATAAAGAGGGACTCTGATATATGATTATTTTTCCCCCTCTAATTGGAAAAGTTTATCAATAAAAAATATGGAAAAATACACATTTAAGCCATGTTTTTCTGATGTAGCATCCAAGAAAGACAATTAAGAGCTGGTGGATTTGATGGTGGATTTTTCAGAAATAAAAACCAGTTAATTATATAAAGTGAAAAAAGTTATGTGCCTGATACGACGTGGGCTAAAATCATATGGTGTTTATACAAACTGAACAAAGCCTGCTTTGTTCTTCCATGAGTGCTACCTCTGAACTCACCTGCAAACTACAGCTAAAAATAATATGAGGCAAATCAGGAAGGGCCAAATTCTGCCATGCTTACGGTCACTGCTCCTTCCTATGTGTGCTGTGAGAGAGTCACATTGACTCCAATGTGAACCTGATGAACACAGCTGGTATCAGAATAAGAAAATGGATCCATAAAATTCCTGCATACACCATACTTATTTGGGCAAATAAAGATTCATGGCTTTTAGCAAAGAGGTAGACTAACACCTTGCATGCACAGTTTAAGACATACTAATGGAAAGATTGCTTGAGACAGAAAAATGAGATGCATGCATATTCTTCCCAAATACTTCAGGAAATATTTTATAGTTCCAACTCCTAAAAACCCTTGTCAGTTATCTTATATACTGAACACTTTAGATAATTAAAGTACTGTAATATTTTCAATGTCCACGTGGACTACTCTAAAGTAACACTAGAAATACCAAGGTAAATAGTTTATCACAAGCAGAAATTGCAGCAATGCTGGGGTGGCTTCAGTGTATTTGGAAGCCTAAAGGGAAAAGTCAAAGGACAGATGAATGCATTGTTACTTGCTACAGCAGGGACTGTGCTTATAAAATGACTTCTCTTGACGTTCTGGAATTATCCTCAATTGAGGAGTTTCATACGAGACAGCCAGTTCACAAATCAAACCCAAATCTTTTAAATCTCCACTTTTGGAAGCCTAATTAAGTACCAAAAATGGAGCAATGTTCCTACAGCTTTGTAGGATGCCACAAACCATCAGAAACAATAAAGATTTTGGAACTTACTGGTAATTCTGCTGATGGTGAATGAGGCAGAAGAGCACGGCTTGTGCTTTCCTGGCTCAGAAGTGCTGGCTGTAGCAAAATCTAATGTTGATACGTGAAGTAGGCTGAACTCGGAAAACACATGGCTTAGGAATTGGGTGGCATGTTTGGAAGAGGCCAATTTTTCACCGTAACCTTTCCTTAAGCACCATTTCAACACCTTCTCTTTTGGCTGCTGAAATTTAGGAGGTATGTATTAGCACCCTATGGAGGTGGAGGTGGAGGCAGAGGAGGAGGAAAAGGAGGAGAAGGAGTGTCAGTGCCAGCTACATAGCCCTTTTAGTGGCCATTACTGATCATTTCACATAGCGGTTTGGCAGGAAGCCAAGTACCTAGCGTTTAACCTGGTTAGATGTAAGGCACTAGTGTGAAGGTACATAATTAACAAAATTACCAGCTAAATTCCAGATTCTTTACTGTTGCTATAAAACCCAGCTCAGAATCCTCTATCAGTCACAGGATAAATGCTTAAGCCAGTAAGAACAGCCAAAAATACTTCCTTACGTTTGTTGCTAAATATCTGTCTCCCACCAATGTCAGTAACTTTGGTTTGTCTCCTTTCCCCTGCTAGGTGCTCCAGGAGAAACCTGTCCAGTTCCTTGTAGGTGCTGTGAAACACATGCCCTTGCTCTGCCTGCAGAGCGATTGCTTGTTCCAGCAAACTCAAGTTCCCTTTTGTTTTGTCCAGCTCAACCGACACTTCCGTGGTTTCTGACAGGCACTCATTGTCATCTTCTTCACTTTCAGGGAAGGGATTCTGAATTCTCTTCTCGAAAGGATCTGGGTGAGACTCCTGGGGTGCTCTTAGCTCTGTTTCGGAGTCACAAAGTGTTTCACAAGGGCCAAATTCTACCTCTTCCTTCTTAATTTCTGGGACTTCCAGGATGCTAGGTTGATTACACTCTACAATATACTTTTGAGTCACATGGGGCTTTACGCTTGTTTCTTCTGAGAAATTTGAGGAGCTGTCCCACTCGTTGTCCATAGTTTCAGAGTTACTTTCATTTTCCTCAGATGAACAGTATTTTGGGTCAGAAATAACAGTCTTTTCTTTTCCTTCAACTGAGTTAATCATGTAACATTCATCAGTGTCATCACTTTCTGTTTTTAAGGACTGAATGCCGCTATCATTTAGATTTTCTGCCACTGTTTGACTGGGTGCATCTTTCGATAATTTTCCCATGTTCATCAAAGATTTGGCCACAGCATCTTGATAGCTGGAGTAGTTATCTTTCCTTTGACTGGAATTTTCTTGCCCACCTGAATGAGAGGTTTCTTCAGATGATTTTGGAGTGCTTTCCTCTGCATGAAGGCAAAAAACAAGAGAAAAATATGTAAGAAGAACTGCTTTTTGTATCTTGAAGAAGTGATATGAAGATATTTACTTACCAATCTCTGTTTCTTTACTCAAAGGTACTCTGAAATGATTGAAGCCACCAAGGCTGCTTGCAACATTAGGAAAAGCCCTTCTAAGATTATGTCTACTTTATACTATAACTCCAAAGCTATATGACAAATAAATATGCTGTCATTTTTCACTGACGGTGAAGACATATATTATCTTAGAACACACATTCTTATACATTCATATAAATATGATGTGCCACATATAGGTAAGTACTATATATATACACACAATCTATATGATATCTGCAGATATATATATATATATACAGGCACACACACATTTTAAAACTCCTCTGATGCATTTTCACTTTTCTTTCATCTAAGATTCCCAAATATTTCCTCAAAATAAACCCTAATTCTTTTTCGGGTCACCTCAGATCCCATGAAAGACCTTGATGGAAAAAAGCTCAATACTTCACAAAGGGCAAGCTCCTGGTCACTATTGCAATTGCCACATTAAGTGATAGATCAGGTCATGCACAGGCAAACAGAAATGGTTGTTATGTACAGACTCATAAAGGACTTGTTAAAGACACCACTGAAGTGCATCCTGGCTTTATAAACATCTTTCTTCAGAAGAAACGCAGCAGCCAGCAGGTAATAGAGGCTATATGTAGGAGAGGTTGTCGGTGTGGAAGACAATATGCCTTTTGTATCTCATTTAATTTTTTTATAAACATTTCCTCTGACAAGGACACTCAAAAATACATCTCCATCATCTTCCTTTCTGGTAATTATCTCTCTAAAATCAACACTGGTTTGCCAGGATCAAGTAAATATTGCCATAGTAACTAAAAGCATTTTTGGATGAAGGGAAGAATTTAGTCACAACACTAGCCCCTTCAATAATGCTGATTATAGGGTACATTCTTTTGTTGGGATCTATTCAACATAAACTGAAAAATTTAACATTTTACTTCCTAGAAAGGAGGATGAATAAACAAGCACAGACAATTTCGTAAGATGTATCTGTCCTCTCCTGATTCAGAAGAACTCCAGGTTTAAATAATAAATTAAGCATAGTCTAAAATGCAAATGAAGTTTCTCTCAATAACACAGCGAGCTATTAAGAGAAAGTGTAAAGGGTTATGATAATTTTAAAGTATTATGAACTACAGAAAACAAATAAAAAGCATTTTCACTGAATATGTCCAATTCATTGAACTATTCTCTCAATCCACTTAACTACCCACATGTGTACAATAATGATTTATAGACATTATACCTAATTATGCATATTTGGGCTGTGTTAGAGTGCCTAACAAAAGCTCTAGAAAGCAACAATTACCTCTGTTGCTTAGCTACATAGTTTAAAATATTCCTATTAAGTGCAGATTATTGTGGAGGGGAAAAGGGGGACAAAAATGCACATGTGCACCACAATGCATTTCACTTTACTGCTGCCAAACTGTTAGCATTTTGGGTCATTTCCAGTTTACATAATTGTTTGGTTCAACTGTTTGTTATATGTTAAAAGAAAATATTGATTAATTCTTATTCTTCTTCAGAAAATTGGACTCATGCAGGGAGAGGTGGCCTTGTGCACTGTGTGCATAAAGTTGTGTTTAAAAAAAATGTCTGTAAACCTTAGTATAACTTTTTAGCAGCTGGTCTAGTACCACACACATTGCAGTATTCTGAATAAAGAAGTCTGCTGTCTTTTCACATCTCAGCAAGTAAGAATGATGATTTGGCTCTATGACCAACTTTAGTCAAATGGGTTTTTATTATTTGCTCTTCTGCCATTTGGAAAAAAACCAGAATCCCATCAGTGAGTCGTTTCAAAAAGTAAGAAGTTATAGTTTTAAAAGGAGTCTCACACTCTTCAAAACAAAACAAAATAAAACAAAACTTAATAACAGATCTTTTCAGTTATTTTTCTATGTGAAAGCTGAAAAATACTATAAATGCACAATAACAGGTATGCTTCGTTAAATAATAAGCAATTTTTAAATGCAGTGTTTAAGAATTTGTTGTTGAACCAGTCTTAATGGTTCAGCTGTCCCAGCTTTGCTTTTCACTTCCACAGGCTGTAAATTTACTTTAAGAATAATCAAAACTCAGCTTAGTTTACAGTTGCATCAGTCCATGAACTGAAGCATTAACTGATCAACCGACAAGAATCATGAGTTCATAATAAAATGAGCAACATTACACTAATTGCAAATATACCTACATAACCAGAACACTTGTATGCTTATTTGAAATTTGTTTTGTAGCTGGCAAAATTAATGCAAAAGGGATAGGGTGTATTATCCCTGACAAATGCAGTTTGCGAGAAACTCACTGGTATCAAATAAACCTTTTTGAAATGCGATGACTTTTTTCTTTTGACAGAAGAGCTGGGTGCAAATAGCACCGACTTTTATATCAATGGACTAGGCCCATCACTTGCCCACTTTTAGAAAAAGAACCAGATAAATAACTTAGGTTTGTCTGTACATGGTACAAGTTCTACCTTTACACCCATCATAGTGCTTTCCCTTCAGTAAGTTCTTTAAACTGTGCAGAGGACAAACACAAGGGAAAGAAAAGCACTTTACTGAGGCAGGTCTGGATGGCCAGGACCCAGGCTGAATCAATACAATAAAAATTAGCTAAATCTACATACCTCCAAAAAACCACCAAACCCAAACAAAAAAAACCACCATACAAGAACTCTTACTCAAACAGCTTCACTTCAGATTTCTGATGTTAGGAGGTGGAAATACTCCTTGCAGGCTGGACAGCTACTGAGAGCCATGGAGCCTTTTTCTTGATGAATTTAGCTTAGTAACCTCCCCCAAAAGACAGAGACACTGGGTATTAACTTGTTAATTAATGTTGTATTCAAAGAGGGAACTCTCTCCAAGGCTTTCACCTGACAGGATGCAGAACACCTGGAGGAGACTCTTCCTAGAAGACTTACAAGTGACAACTGGCTGAAATCTTTGCCCTATAGAGATGACACAAAGAAATAAAGAACTCCACTGATTTTGATAGAACCATGATTTGTCTCTTTAATCTGAAAGACAGCCTTCTTCTATTTGTTTTATAGTTTTCACATGTATAAAATTTTGAGTTTTTTTTTTTTGTTTTAAGGAAATTCTATTTGGAGTGGATAAAGATATAAACTCCTAATCTCAGTTCATTATAGAATTATAAAATAGCCCAGTCTGGAAGGGATCTTGAAAGATCATCTGGTCCAACCTTTTGTGGGAAAGGGAACCTAGATGAGATTGTCTAGCATGCTGTCCTTCCAAAATGTTTGAGAAGTTGGTTTCCACAAGAGATTGACTGGAAAATGAATTACCTTTAAAATCCTGTAGCAACCAGCAACTGAGTGGAATATAAATTAATTCTGTTTTCATAGTATCTGTAATTACTAATTTTCCAGGGCCAGATTACATTGCTTTTGTCTTGACCTTTGCTGTTTATGATGACTCTTCCCTTCAAAACAAATGTGAAATATATTCCACTGATTTCTTCTCACTTGCCTGATTAAAAACTTGTGCAGGAAACAAATATGTGACAGCCAGTTTGGTTTGATAATTTTCGTTCATCCTGAATATATATAAACATACATTAGGAAGAGCAAGCAATAAAGACATACTGTAGTTATATCTTTCTGTCTCCCTGTTCTCTTCCGTATTTTGCACCATACATATTGTAGAAGTTTCTAGAAATTGTTGGACGTTTGGCTTAGCAGAGTTGGAATAACAAGTGTAAAAGTGCTGAGTCTAATAATCGTGTTAAACAGAACACATGTAGCAGTCACATGCATGAAATTGCTTTGCTAAATGTTAAAGTCAACAATGTTTTGCTAAGCTTTTTTTTTTTTTTTTCTTCCTAAGAGAGCTATATATTTCAGTGAAAATCTGCTCTTCATAAATGTGTTTTTCTCAGTGGTGGGCTTAACCTTGTTCTTTGACAGAGCTAGTGGAGAAGCAGATGCTGCTCCATATCTGACCTGCTCCAGTAGTTGTTTCTCTATGTGACCTATAAAGCATTTACTAGACCGCAGGAGGAGTTATTGTACAAAATAATTGAATGTATGATGGTTAAACCCAGACAGAAATGCACTATTCCAACTCTGCTAGAAGTCAAACACACTCTGCAGCCTGTTTGAAAATATTGTTTCATATCTCCCTTCCTGTGGAATTCAGGTTCAAGTGGAACCACGCTGCATGACTACCTGGAGTTGAGCTTCTTTCAAGGACACTGATCTCTTCCTGTAAATCCATCCTGTCTTCATTTTCTTCTTTGCATTCCAAGTTGGGGCTGTAGTGGCGGGGTTTCATTAACAGGGACTTCCTTTTGTTGACAGGAACGCCTGATATCTGTTCTTCAGCTTTTCTCTTCTTAGCCATGGAGCATTTGTAGGCACTGCAATGATCAATTGGCAATGATAGAGAAAAAAGTGGGAGAAATGAAGGGTAAAATGTTTAGAAAATAGCACCATCCTCTATTTTAATTCTAAGTACAAAAGTGAAGACTGACAAAATATTAATTCACTTGCAGTTTGAGCAAGTTGTGCTTGGTGGATATTTAGTTTTAACTCATGTACTCAAAGTTCAGGGCATAGGCAAGTCCCTTTTCATTTCACTGCTGCTAAAATTTGTTTAGAGGGAGGGGAATGAGGAGGAAGATAAAAGCAAAAAACCCATAACCCAATGTCCTTAATCCTAAATAAGTATATGCTAATCTAAGACCTGCTTTGCAGTAAAATGAATACACCCAGGAAAGGACGAACAAAACTGTAGTCTGATAATCCGGAGAAACAGCTAAAGGGAAAAATATGCCACCAGTTATACTACAACATCCTGAGCCTTTGGCTCCATTACCTTTGTATCAATATGGATATCCGATCATGCACCTTGAGTTCAACAGCACAAAACATGTGTGAAACACACTGCATCTTAGGAAAATTTTGCAATACGGGTCCCTCCTTCAATATCAGTCCCAAGTGTTGGTTTCATTTCATTAACTCCAGCCATAAATGCCTAGTTTAAGCTCTTCTCAGGTCTCTATACAGGCTCTGGACAAAGGCTCCTCCATAGAGTAATTCATCCCGCTTAAAACTAGATCTGTCTGATAAACAGGGTGATCCATCCCCTGGGAAAGGCTTAACCCAGCCTAGATGCTTGACTTTCAGATGACTGATATGAGAAGAAAGTGCATTATTTTAGAGATGAAGATTTTTAGCAGATTTGATACACTTCCTTCAGCTCCTATATGATCCACATTTTATCTGTATATTAATTTGCTTCTACAGATATCTAGCAAAGCCTTTGCTGCCATGCAGATGATCCATCATCATACTAATGTTACATCATACGACCCCTCACTAAGGAGCCCTGAACCTTCAAACCTCTTTTAATTATAGCTTTCTGTGTAAGTGATTTGGCATGACTTGGATATTCTCTCCCACAAAGTATTCTAAGAAATTTATGTAGTACAAATAATAGTGCTCATATTACATCTGTCAGAGATGGAAAAACTACATATATGAATCTATGTAATCCACTCAATGGTTTCTCGACCTTAGGCACCCCCAGGGTGCATTACAAATCTACACGATGCCCTTAGGTGCTGGATTTTGCATTTGGCTCACTGACTTAGCTGCAAGATTTGCAAAAAATCCATGTATGCAGAGAACTCCTATTGGTTACACATATTACAAGCTCAACAGCATAAATTAATCCTTCCAAGGTATCTTATGTGCACTAAATTGGCTCAGGTTCTGATTGTTTTGGATGAAAGCATATGACTAACTTGAGGTTTTTGTTAAAAAAAATACCCATTTTTGGCTAAGCACCTTTTTGGCAATCCATCATTGCAAACACGAAGGACATGGAAATACAAAGATCTGCATTTTAGGGGGAACATTAAAATTCTGCCATATGCATCTTAAACACAGGGGATATTCTTGATCTTCTGAAAGCTAAAATGCTATGGACACCAGGAATAGTGGATGCTAAGCACCTGCTGTAGTTGAATATATTATGGCTTGTCTGTTATTTCTCTGTTTATGAATAGAGGATAACATGAATATCATGTTAAAATTCAGAGTCATTGTCCCCTTGGAAAATCTGCCCATATAGCAGACATCAGAGATGGATGTACTGAAGACAAATATCTATAATATATTTTTAAGAAAATAAAATAAAGGATTTCTTAATTGGTATTTGTGAACAATTCATACCATTCATGTTGTTTCAGGAAAATTGAATAAATGACAAATGTTTGAAAACCCTTCACACAGAATTGTTTTTATTAACAAAAACCTTCACTAGGTTTGCTTTTGATCTTCCTCATTTATTTGTCAAGCTTCAAGTTTACCCCCAGTAACTGCTGTGAGAGTGTTTAGGACAAGATGAATTTCCAGTATTTAATTCCCCTTTGACAAAGCTACAGCTGTTTCTTACACAAACATAATTAATAGATTTTTAGAACAGAAGATCCAATTAGATCATCCAGTATGCCCTCCTGTGCAATGCAGGTCACAGAACTTCATCTAGCTCTTCAGCAATAATCCTGTAATTTGTCTCACTATTGTGTATCTTCCAGTCAAGTTAAGGAAAAACATGATAGGATGGTAAGACGATCGCTGTAGTCTTGCTCACTAAAGTACAATCTTTTTCCAGTAATTTAGTGTTATAAGCCCACCACAGTGGGCTGGCTATTAAACACGTTGGTGTTTCACCACAACTGTGAAAGATAACCCAACTCAGATGTTAGTAGACCATGCTCAAGACCAATGTGGGCGCCCTGCTGCCACCCGCCACCTGCAGATCTGCTCTGGGAAATAAGAGCCTAAGAATTCCACTTGACTGTAACTACCACAATTTACAGCAGTGAACCAAGAGGTTCTTCAGCAGTGCCAGGACAGTAGGCCCACAGATCTGCCTGGAAGTACATTGCTTATATTAGAAAGTTTCTCCTCTATGAAAGGCTGATGCATTAGCTTGTCCTTACCATATCTTTTTCTGTACACGAGAGGCCACTCACTCAGATTTCCTTAATAGCTCCCATCATTTTAAAATATGTGAACACATGAGATTCAACTTCATATAAAATCATTACTGATGTCTTCCACTCTGATTACAGGAAGATGTCAAAATGTAGCTGTTGCATTCTTCCTAGGAAGTGCCAATTGCTCTCCATAGGCCAGGAAGATATTTTTCATCTACAGCAGAATATACTCTTGCTTTTGCTGGCAACTTTGTAAACTGCTGGTTTTGAGTTTTAACTGGAATCTATTAGTTTGCAAGAGTCAGTTTAAAATCTGCCATGTACCAGCCGTTCCCCCTCTTTTCTACCTTACAGTCATTAAAAGTAAAAATGAAAATAAACCCCGAAAAACAACTTCACAAGTGGTTGCTTTCTCAAGTACCTACTTACATGTGACTTTTTAAGTATTTGATGTTGGACCCTGGGAATTCAACTACTCTGAAAAGAATATATGTATGCCTTTGTAACATTCATGGCATATCGATTTCACTTTTGTCTTAAAGTTTCTGTTTCTCTCTTTTCCTTATGTACACTCACACATACACATGCATGCGTTAGCACAGATTTGTCAAGCTGTAGTTTGTCAAATGGTAAACCTATAATTTAGCTTCTCTATTACTCATCTCATAAATTCAACATCTAATAGTTTTGTTGCTATTTATCAATGGCCTGCTTGTTGTCATGGAACACTGATTCAGCTGTCAAGGTTATTTGGTAATCTGAGGCTCATAAAACAGGAGAAGCTCTTTTTGTTATGAGCCCAAAGCCAATACATGAGTTTTTTCCCAAATTTGACTGTATTTAAATTTTATGAATAATAAATCATTTTACTACTACCGATAATGAGCAGATTATTTGTTATTATTATTACACCATTGTCATTATCAATGAGTTGGTTACCAAAACCAGTCCTCTGTCAGTTACCATAGTGTCATCAAAGAGGTTAAAATCTAAGACATATAAGACCTGGTTGCATGTTGGAAAAAAAAAAACCTATGATAAATCTTTCATAAGTATTTCACACCTAAATACTTTCTTTTTTCTTTTTAATTTAGTAGAACCTTCTCTTTATTTCAGCTCAGAGTGTATCTCGAATGGTGTAGGCAGACACTGGTAGTATGCAAGCAGAACAGTGCTTTGAGCCCCACCACAAAGCAATGCCTCCGAGCAAAAAGAGAGGTTTTAAACAGTCCTAGCCACATACAGCTTTTCCTACTGCTGAAAATTGTCATGCTAGTCTTATTTTTGGTAATTGGTTCATCTAAGTGATGTGTTTGTCAAGCCTTTAACCCGACCTTTAACCACTTTGTAGCCAGCAAGGATTTTTTTTCTTGTTAATCTGTTGGCAAGACTTCCAGATCTCTGGGGATTTTTTTTCTTATTCACAGCAGCCTGCAGGTTGGTAAAGCATGATAACAGAGCTAAGAATTGCCATAGTGGGTAAAACCAGGGGTATATTCAGCCTGACAACTGTGTTTTCTAATGCCTGTAATGGATGCCATGTAAAATAATAAGAACAGAACACACTGCATCTCACGTACACTCCTTAGCTTCAAGAGAGAAAATAAATGTTTTTGAATATCAAGGCACTTACACTTATTGTCTTACACTATTTAAGGAGCCCAATCCTCATGTGAGTTTGTGCAAGAATAATTAGTGGAATATTTTCATTTGTGGAGAAAATAATTTTAAATTCTTAGACTGAATTGCCTTTTGACTGTTTGCTTAACTATACTACAAAAGTAAGCTTTAGATTAGTGAATTACAGTTAAAGGAAACATCTGCTGATCTGCAGAATCATTTAACTTCACGCTAGTAGTTAAAAAAGAAGGGTAGCCTAACTTCTCCTTAATCATATTGTGAATAAAGATGCTGCCTGCTGCTTTAGGCCTTGATCAGATTTTGTTCACAAACTTTCAGATGCCATAAGATGCTGCTTAAGTTAAATACTACATTTTACTTATCGGGGAAAAGTTGGTATCTGAAGATTATAGGAGACTTGCCACTTACAGATGAACCAGTAGTTTACAAATGTCTGTCATGGTCAGGATTTCTTCTAAGAATTTTTAGGCTGAACAGAATCAGAGGTACGTAAAAAGAACAAAAATTCTGAATGTCTCCCCACCCTAGTGCTCTTCTAAGTCTGTTTATTCTTTAAGAAACAGATGAGCTGGATTCTGTCTGACTCTTTAACAGAATGGCTCCCAAAGTTTTAGGCTCTAACTGAAAGTATCTGATCCTCCAAAATGACACAAAAGTCCTGAACTCCTCATAAGCTGATGATGAACAGGAGAAACTACTAGAGCTGGATACAGAAAGCAGATGATCTGCTTCTAGGATGGATTGTGTGCCAGTTGAAATGACATTGATGT